AATAACCTTAGAATCAGAAAATCGTCTTTGACCATATTTGGAATGGTCATGAATATTAATGAGCTCTGCTCTGGTGTTCCCACAGCACAGTCTCTCTTTCTCTCTCTTAGAAAAGTTTAATTGATTCCAACTGATCGTTACTGAAATTTCTAATCAGCCAATCACATGGCAGCAACTTAGGCATGTAGACTGGTCAAGACAATCTACTGCAGTTCAAAGCGAGCATCAGAATAGGGAAGAAAGGGGATTTAAGTGACTTTGAACATGGTTGTTGGTGCCAGACAGGCTGGTCTGAGTATTTCAGAAACTGCTGATCTACTGGGATTTTCACGCACAACCATCTCTATGGTTTGCAGAGAATGGTGTGATGCTATCATGTCAATATGGAGAAAAATCTCTGAGGAATATTTTCAGTACCTTGTTGAATCTATGCCATGAAGGATTAAGGCAGTTCTGAAGGCAAAAGTACCTAATAAAGTGGCCAATGAGAGAATGATTAACGAATATAAAATGTTTTTAGAAATGTATTTGACATTCTTGTTTTTTTTGCAGAACAGCACTAGGCGTTCTCATATGGATGCATAATAAATCATTTACAAATACAAATTTAGAAAACAATATTTCAATAATAGACAGATTTAATATTGAGAATAGCTACCTAAACTGAGTAAATTTAAACACTTTAATTTAAGTAAAGTCAACTTGTTGCTTTTAAGGCAACAGGTTTAACTTCCTTTTTAAAGTACTTAATCACTGCTTTTTTGTACAGTGCATACGGCGTAATTTAACACGTATGAGGGCTCATCAACATACGACCTCAACACAAACACCTTTAACTAGGGCCAGGCAGAATCTGCGGACGTTTTTTGCTATTTCTGCCAAGAATTTTGGTAAAAATCTGCAGATTTCTGTGGAATTATTTTGGGAGTATCATAACTAAAACCTTAATATGTGAAATAAAAAATAATATCTTTTTAACTTTTATTTAACATTTAAATTGTAAATCCAATTAAATCCACTTTACTTGCTAAACAAAGCAAGTCTCTCATATAATATCTCGACTAATAGACAGAAAATATTACAAACTGCACTGTACATAAATCAGTACAATCTCTTATTAGTCAATAATATTACTGAAATTAATTTAAGAACTGATTAAATATAGATTTACACACATTCACTCAAGTAAATAAACAAAATTGATGATGGGCTAAAACAGATTCTGTTGGGGTCTATCTTTAACCAAGCAGAATGTAGATTGTTATTTTTTTGTTTACAGGACTTGACCACATATGTACTGTAGGAGTGGGGAAACCCCTCAGGCCTCACACACACACACACACAATCAACCACACAGCAGCGTCAGACTTCATGCGAGAGCGAGTGGTTTGTTCAGTGGTCAGTGGTGTTACACAATATTCTGGCGTCAGCTAAACTTGGCTCCATGTGGAGAGTGGGCACAGTATTATTATCTGTGAGCTGTACCATCCAACACGCATCAAAAACACACACATACACTGGTGAATATGAGATCATCCCTCTTGGCTCTATTAATTTTAATAATGAAAAAAGAAATAACCGGCTGAATTCATTTATTCATCTTCTTTTCGGCTTAGTCCCTTTATTAATCTGGGGTCACCACAGCGGAATGAACCGACAACTTATCCACCATATGTTTTTACACAGCGGACGCCTTTTCAACTGCAACCCATCTCTGGGAAACATCCATACGCACTCAAACACTACAGACAATTTAGCCTACCCACCGCATGTGTGGGGGAAACCGGAGCACCCGGAGGAAACCAACACGAATGCAGGAAGAACATGCAAACTCCACACAGAAATGCCAACTGATGCAAACTCTATGTAGAAACTGGTCCAGCCGAGGCTCAAACCAGTGACCTTCTTGCTGTGAGGCGACAGCACTACCTACTGTGCCACAGCGATCCCGATCTTTTAATGTTCAACTGTGCGGCTCCACACTGAATGCATTATTATAAACTACACAAGTGGTGACAGAAAACCCCTTTAATTAATAAGAAAGCTTTTAGGTGGCGCCACAATTTCTTTAGTCATCATTTTATTTTACAGGAAAGCTTTGGCACATGATATTGCAATGACGTGGAAGGCGATCTCTCTGCCATCGATACTAATTTAGGATTAATCCCACATTCAGTCATTCATTTTCATTTAGCTTAGCCCCTAATTTATCAGAGGTCGCCACAGTGGAATGAACCACCAACTATTCCAGCATATGTTTTACACAGCAGATGCTTTTAAACTCACAACTTGGTACAGGGAAACACTCATACACACTCACATTCACACACACTCGGCCAATTTAGTTCACTCAAATCACCTATAGCAGTGGTCCCCCACCCCCGGGACCGGTACCAGTCCGTGGATCAATCAGTACCGGGTCGCACAAGAATGAATTATCTTTAAGTTGGCAGATAAAGTAGCTGCATTTAAAGCCAAACTGGAGTTGTGAAGATGGCGCGGGAACAGAGGCATATTAGACACGTTTCAAATAGGGTTGAGCATCTAAGCTATAATGCCGATCCGATACGCATCTCGATACAAAGAATACGATCCGATATATGAGCGATACATTTGTGACATATTGCGATGCAACACGATACGATTCACACCCATATCACGATACAATGCGATATTTCAGCACTAACTAATTAGATCAAGTTTATGAGATGATGTGAAAGAGGATGCTGTGCCATTGAATGAGTTTGATTATTTATAAACCAAGCAAAACCAAGACTTTTTTTACAAACTAGCTTTTCTCTCAGAGCCAGAGTGTCAGTTTACAGTAGAGGGCCATTTTAGAACATATAGCACATATTATTTAAGTATTTTCAAGATAAACAAAATGTATAAGTGCAATATATATTATAAATGTATATATTTGCACTCTTTCAACATAAAGGTTGAGCATTGCACAACAAGAATTGTGATTTAACTTTTCAACTATGAAAACAAGTTTTACAAAGATATATTGTGCCACTGAATATTCAAAACTTAAGGTGATGAACTAGCAGTGTTATGCTGCTTTGAAACATCACTGTCACTGTAAACAACAGGCTAATAAAAATATAAATAAATACAAATTAACAGGAGGAGGTGTTTAAAACCTTCGTTCTCCGTGACACTAGGCTGAATATCTTTGCCGATGAACAATGCAATAGCATTCGTTATTGGCGTAGAGCGCACAAAACTGTTGCGCATGGAGAAAACTTTCAATGCTTTTCTCACCACTTTTGGAGCTGGTACTGTAGCTACAGTTGAAGCAGAGCAGGAAGCCGGGGATGCAGGAACACTGGAAGATGCTTCCACAACAACACCGAGGCGCCGCTTCAAGTGAGATTTCAGATTAGTCGTACTGCCCGTGTATTTTACAGATGCGCGGCACATTTTGCAAATTGCATCTGTCCTGTCAAGTCGTCCATCCTTTTTGCAGAATCCATAATGTTGCCATACTTTAGATTTAAAACTCAGTGGGGAATAAAATGTTTGTTTTGCTTCTCGCACTTTCTGAGGGCGCACCACTAGCTTCATCCGCACACCTGATACACTGAGTTGTAGTGTGAGTGTACACATCCGCAAGTCCGTTGCTAAGGCATACTTTATGTAGGTCGATTAAATTATGCGCCAAAAACAGGTTGACAACACTTGTTAATAAATAAAAAATACATTCTATATTAAAAATATAAGTTGTACCTTGGAAAAACCGATGCATCTCGCAAAAACCGATGCATCTCGATTTGCTTCCAAAATTTCATTCATCCTCTGCTGCTCTACCGATGCACTCGCATCGTGCACGCGCATGACCGCGTATCGATACATATCGGTTAATCTTCCCATCCCTAGTTTCAAACATTAGCGGTGATTTTGTGTGAGTCTGAGCCTGCGCCCTCACTCACCAAGCTGGTGCACGATCACCAGTCTTCGCTGTTAAAGGAGTTTGAGCGCTACTTCCCAACCTCAAAGGACCCACAAACAGCCAATGAATGGATACGAGAAATATTTGTCAACAAACCAGCTGAATAAAGCATGTCCGTGGTCCAAAAACCCGAGGCAAAGGAGTAGACTGGACACAAGCAACACACTTCGGTTGTCAATAGCCCCTTTCACGCAGTGATGCCGGTAAATATATGGAAAATTTCCAGAATGATTATCGGTAAATTCAAAAAAGCGCTGTCCACACAGGCGAGGACGTTACGGAATTTTTCCGGAAAAGACTATTCACACATCCATTCCAAAATACCAGTAAATTGTGACATCACTAACCAGAAATGAGCTCTAAACGGCTGCGCTTGTGTTTGTAAATATTTGACAACATCACAAACTCTGTGGATGTATCAGTGTTGTGAACAGCTTCGAGAAAACACATAGAGAAACACTTTCGCAAGTCGAGATGTACATGATATGTGCGTGTGCTGGCGTTCACGGGCTGTTTCACGGGCACACGCAAAGCTTTAAGGTAAACAAACAACGGCTTATCATACGCATCTAATCGATAATTATTTACACGGTTGGCATTAAGATGAACATATAAACGGTCACACTTTACAATAAGGTTCATTAGTTAATGTTAATTAATGCATTTACTAAGATGAACAAACAATGAACAATGCATTTACTACTGTATTTATTCATGCTAGTTAACGTTAGTTAATGAAAATACAATAGTTCATTGTTGGTTCATGTTAACTCATGGTGCATTAACTACTGTTAACAAGCATGGACTCGAATGTTAATAATGGATTAGTAAATGTTCAATTATGATTAATAAATGTTGTTCATGTGTTGTTCATGATTAGTTCATGTTAGCCAATGCATTAACTAATGAACCTTATTGTAAAGTGTTACCATATAAACGTTATCTGACTAATTTCTAGCAGCTGAATGTGTCTGGAAAAATATTCAAAAGGCTTTTCTCATAAACCGCGCGGATGTGACTGCGTCTGACTGTTCTGATTGGCTAAAGCAGACGTCAGCACGTTCTAGACGTGCACGCGTTCTTCCGGCAATCTTCCTTCTGCCATTACCCCCAGATGGGACCATCTCGTTGCAAAGAAACAAGCTCAGGGCTCGCATTGATTTAGCGTTACGGACAGTTTTTGATGTTATAATATTGTTGGAGCAATGTGTTAATAAAGTTATTACTTCCTAATGTTATAATAGCATTGTAATGTTGGAGCAATGTGCTAATAAAGTTCCATATGAGTACACAGTGGATTCACGTTTATTATTATTATTATTATTATTATTTCAACCCCTTGGTCTGTAGTAAAATGGTCAATCGTTGACCGGTCCGCAGTTAGAAAAAGGTTGGGGACCATTAACCTATAGCACATGTGTTTGGACTGTGGGGGAAACCGGAGCACCCGGAGGAAACCCACGCCAACATGGGGAGAACATGCAAACTCGATGTAAAAACTGGTCCAGCCGGGACTCGACCCAGCGACCTTCTTGCTCTAAGTGCTAACCACTGAGCCACCATGCAGTCTGCAGGTCAAAGCCGTTCCAAACCATGTGTTGTGATCTGTATGGATCAATTGAGATTGCTTACACCCCTAGTATATGTGTATATATATATATGTGTGTGTGTGTGTGTGTGTGTGTGTGTGTGTGTGTGTGTGTGTGTTCACCTTGTGTGTGTTGCTGTAGGCGTAGAGGTGTGCCAGACGGTACAGACTCTTGTAGTGCTGTGGGTAGCGGCTCAGACACAGGAACAGACAGCGCACACACACGTCCACTAGTGTTTTCCTCTGCTCCTCTCGTCCCGCCGGCAGAGCCTTGGGCAGCTCCATGGCCTCCAGTGGAGGGGGCGGCTCCGGCCTGCGCTTGCTCTCGCTGGAGGGCCCCGTCTGCGGGTGCGGTCTGTTTGGCGTGGTGGGTGGCTGCGGGACAGATGGAGCCTGGCTCAGCGGGTCTGCTGTGGGAGTCTTCGGGACGGAGGCCTCAGGGGACGTGATGGATAAAGTGGTGTCTGAGGACTCCTGCGTGACGGAGGACTCCTGGGACAGGGTGGCGGAGCTGAAGTCCATGTTTTTGTCCTCCAGGGGGCCTGTAGGATTTCAGAAGCACAGATGCTGCTTTTTAGTTTAGTTAAGGGTGCTTTCCCCCTGTAGATGTAGCTTTTTTACACTGGCCAAGGGAGCTTAACGACTGGTTTATAGACTGATATCACACAGTCGCCATTTTAAAAGCAAAATCGAGGCTGCGGTGGGAAGAAACCCGGAAGTATTACCTGAGTTACACAGAAACAATGTGTACCTGGCTGTTTATCTCATCAGCAAAGAGAAAGTGACACAAATTTATAAGTTCACTTTCTTCCGAGTGACCTGAATGTCCGTTCTGAGTGGATAGTGAAAATAAAAAGGGATATCAGACATCATTTTCAGCGAAGTTAATGGAAATGGCACTAGCTAGCTAATGTTTTATTTCCCAAACACACGTTTTAGATGCCATTTATCCAACTCAAGTTAATGATCTGATTCTTTCACTATATTAGACCTGCCACGATACAAAATTTAGGAACTGAAATTTGAAAAACATCAATTTAAACACTGATCGCGTTCTTAAACACAGCTGACCTGCCACAGAATTCACCGGTGCTCAACAGAAATTAATGTTATTGGCTGTGAAGGGCATCAGTAGGCATGGGCCGGTATAAGATTGTGACGTTATGATAATCTTGGATAAAAATTTCACGGTTTCACGGTATTACATTACTCTAAAATACATTGTTTTTTAATGTCCGAGAAAAAAAACTTAAAATTTTTTTTTGAACACATTCTGTTTTATTTTAAGAAACATTAAATATAATTTGGAACAGTAGCTTTTGATGTGGAGGGTCAAAAAAAAAAAAAACTAAATAAAATAGTCGCAAAAAACATGTTAAAAAAACTTTACATACAGTTGAAGTCAGAATTATTAGCCCCCCTGAATTATTAGCGCCCCTGTTTATTTTTTTCCACATTTTACGTTTAAAGAACAAAAGATTTCTTCAACACATTTATAAACATAATAGTTTTAATAACTCGTTCCTAATAACTGATTTATTTTATCTTTGTCATTCTTCAAGACACTTCTATACAGCTTAAAGTGACATTTAAAGGCTTAACTAGGTTAATTAGGTTAACTGGGCAGGTTAGGGTAATTAGGCAAGTTACTGTATATTGATGGTTTGTTCTGTAGACTATCAAAAAAATATATATAGCTTAAAAAGGCTAATAATATTGACCTTAAAATGGTGCTTAAAAAATTTTAAACTGGTTTTATTCTCGCCAAAATAAAACAAATAAGACTTTCTTTAGAAGAAAAATTATTATTAGAAATACTGTGAAAATTTCCTTGCCCTGTTAAACATCATTTGGAAAATATAAAAAAATAAATAAATTCAAAGGGGGGCGAATAATTCTGAGTTCTACTGTGTATCATTGGAACGGTATGAGAAAATTTTAACCGCTTATCGTCCCATGCCTGGTCATCAGTTCACTGCACTTCACCAATGTTTATCGAGTGCAAACACAAGCTGTGTCTCATTCCAGTGGTCAAAAATAATCATCTAGCAATGAAGCATGAAGTTTATGAGTGAATAGCTGAATCATTGATTGAAAATGAGACTAAAAATAAATATGGGTTGTATAAATGATAATGCTAGAATTCTATATTTAGCGTTATCAGCAACAGTAGTAGTAACAGTGAATTTTTTACTACTAAATATTTTACTGTTTATTTTTATTCAGCTGATTAATTCTTTATTTTTAATATTTTAATATTAATGTTTTAATAAAATTGTAATTTTAATTACAGCTTCAAAGTTCTGTTGTTAAAACCAAAAGTGTCTTGCAGTACTGTTTATGTAGTTACTTATTACTTACGTTACTTGTAACGTGTTACCCACAACACTGCTAACTACATACATGTTTTCTTAAAGGTGCAATGAAGTGCAGAGATTAAATTAAATAGTTCTCTGATAGCTACACAGTTCAGAAATTATTTTATATGCTTATTTATAACCACAGAAATGAACAATTGACCATATTTGGAATGGTCGTTACTACTAATCAAAGCTAAAAGTGTGTTAAAAAGCATTGTATTATGAATGGCATTAACTTTGCAGTATATACAGTCGGAGCCAAAATTATTCACCCTGCTGTTAATCTTTTTTTCAAATATTTCCCAAATGATGTTGAACAGATTCAGGAATTTTTCACAGTATTTCCTATAATATTTTTTCTTCCCGAGAAAGTCTTATTTGTTTCATTTTGGCTAGAATAAAAGCAGTTTTTAATTTTTTAAAGACCATTTTAAGGTCAATATTATTAGCCCTCTTAAGCAATATTTGTTTTGGATTGTATACAGAAAAAACCATACATGGTTTATATATGGTTATACAATGACTTGCCTAATTACCCTAACTTTACCCTAATTAACCTAGTTAAGCCTTTAAATGTCTGTTTAAGCTGAATACAAGTATCTTGAAGAATATTATGTCCTACCATCATGGACATCAAAGACAAAAAATCAGTAATTAGAAATGAGTTATTAAAACAATTATGTCTAGAAATGTGTAAAAACATAATACTGTACATGTTTATTGTATGGTGGTCATTACCTGTGTCCTCCACCGTGGCCTGTTTCTCCTTCCCAGTGGCATTTGAATCCTCTGGGAAGATGCTACACTTCACAGGATGGAGTTTGTGGCTGCTGTCCTGTGAGCTGGTGGCATCCATGAAGACGTCCTGCAAGGAGCTGGAGTCCGACAAGCCAGCGACGCTGTCCTGACTTTGCTCTGAAGGAAATATACCACACAATTACCCTCATTCAACAAGACCACCCCCATCAACTGTTGTCAATACTCACAGAATAAAAACAACATCAGAATCTGCTTCAGAATAGCTTAATTAGCACATAAATCAACACATATCCCAGGGTGAATTGAGTAGTGTCCTCCTCCAGTGGACATACAGTACTGTAGGGCTGGAAACATTGGCTGGATTGACAGATTTATGAATGGCAGCTGTACCTGAAGAGCAGGGAGGCTTTGGCTGGCACGATGTTTTGGATTTGAGGGTAGAAATAAATTAAATAACAGTTGTGCACCAAAGACGTTCCACAAATCAAAGAAATGGTAACAGAGTGCTGCAGTAATGAGTTTTTGGTTTACACCATATCCTAACAACACACGGACAGATTCCAGAGACGAGCAATTTGGCTGTCTGCACCAAATGCAATGCGAAACGACAGAAACATTTGAAGGGCACATAGCTTACCCCTTTTTTATGATTTAATATTAGTATTATGGTTGTTCTGAGTGTGCCAGTTTAGATTCAGTTCAACACACAGTTCAGATGTTTGTATTATAATGTGTTCAAAAGTGTCATGTTGGGGGCGTGTACACAGTTTGCTGTTTTAGGGGCGTGTTGCTTCACATGAAAATTAGTTTCGGCTTCCCGCCCATCGTATCAAGGGGGCGGAGCCAAAAGCTCCCACGCTCTGTGTTTGCAACAGACAGGCTGACAGACAGAGAGAGAGAAGCTAAGCTAAGCTAGGATCAGCATTCAGCTGTACATGTACGACTCGGGCACAGACCAAGCAGAGAGTACAAAATCATTTGTGTATAGTTTGTATAGTCTCGGTGTACAAGTGCCGAGCTTGTACACTGAGACTGATAACCGCAGACACTGAATTAACTTTGACTGAGGCACCGAATGCGCCGCAACACGGCACAACAGACACTCTCAGTGACGCGGCAGAAACATGAAGTGTCCCGAATCGCCGCACCACGTATTCCAGAACTCCAAACACAAGCCTCCACCAGGGCAAACACAACAGCGCCGTGGATGCCGAGCCGCCAACCCGAAGCTCCGCCGCGTGCACCCCGACAGAAACCCAGAACTTCGAAATGCACGGCGCCGCGCCACGCAAAAGATACAAGCAATACATACGATTAGAGCAATAATGTGGAGAATATTGATCTTGTGTTGAGCCCAATGAGCTTTTCATCTAAAAAATAGAGCACGGGTGTTCCTTTAGTGATATCGCTTTGACACACACGCTGAAAATGGCGGACGTGCAACAAGAAACTGAGGATATGATCGTGACACAAGGCTGTCAATCAATATTGGTGGGCGGGGGGACCCCTCTCCTACGTAAAGATGCGGTCGGTCTGAACACCGCTCCAATTGGTCCACAGTTTTTATGTTGTTAAATTGAAAAAAAAGGAGTGTGTGTGTTTATATCAGCCCAATATGACAGTCTATACACTATATACACACATGTCTGTCCAAACAGCTTGAAAAGTAGATTTTTCACCATAGGTGCCTTTTAAATACCCGGCATTCATTTATGGATATTAAACCTCTTTAACATTATTACTAGGCTATTATTAATATATCACAATAATAATAGGCATTATTAATAGATCTGAGGTGAGCTATCTGCTGCTGCTTGGCAATAAATGTGACATAAAATAGTATTTAAACTTATATTAAGAGCATTTAATTTAAGAATAAAGCTCATAATCAGTACCTGAGGTGATCATTGTCATAGTAGTTTATACTGGTGTTTTGCCGAGATGTCGTGGAAATAGAAAGCATTTCTAAAATAACAGTTAGTTTCATAGATGGTTAAGACTAACACAGAAGTATAAATCAGCCTTAAGTCCTTTTATTTATCTGGGGTTGCCACAGTGGAATGAACCGCCAACTTATCCAGCATATGTTTTACGCAGCGGATGCCCTTCCAGCTGCAACCCATCACAGGGAAACACCCATACACATCGTGTGCCTTATATGTGAGGAATCTATACAAGTACGATAGTACGCCGCTTCTGCTTTTATTTTGAAGTTGTATTATATTATACCTCTATTCTTCCTTTGGACCATGTTCCTTCAATTGTATGGTTGAACAGAAAATGAACTAAATAAAGAATAAAAATAATAATAAAAAGTCATCACTGCAGCACTACGTCTGTTCACCTAAAGATGAAAATTCTGCCATTATTTACTCGCCATCAAACTGATCCAAATGTCCATGACTGATTTTGTACTAGTAAACACCAAGTGACGTTTAAAGGTTTCGAAAGTGAGTTTAGAAACCGAAAATAAAAAACATTTGCCTGCAGAAGACATTGATAGATTGCTGTTCATTATTATTTTATGACTTCAGATGACTTGGAATATAAAGCGTGAGCTTTACAGACTTTTATTTTGCCATATACAGTTAAAGTCAGAATGATTCGTCCTCCTGTGAATTTTTATTTTCATTTTTGAAATATTTCCCCAATTATGTTTAACAGATTCAGGAATTTATCTCAGTACTTCCTATAATATTTTTTCTTCTGGAGAAAGTCTTATTTGTTTTTTTTTTCGGCAAGAATAAAAGCAGTTCTTAATTTATTTAAAGCCATTTTAAGGCCAATATTATTAGCCCCCTTAAGCAATATTAGTGTTGGATTGTCTACAGCAGGGTTTTTCACAGTCTAAGACAGTGGGCCTCCCTTTTGACACAACTTATCCATTTATTTATTTACAGAGTAATAACAAGTATTTTAATATAACGTTTTTAAAACTAGGATGATGGTTCAATATGAATAGAACAGATCCAAGAACAGTCCATCCCAGTCAAAACAGTTGAAGTTTAGCGGGTCTCATGCTGTCATTAGCCAAAAGATTTTGACAAACCACACATAAAGGTCGTGGTTCATCAGCTGGTCCTGTCCACGTAAATCCTAAACTCAAATACTGATCATCATATAGTCGTCTTTTGGGTTTAAGCCCTGAACTTGAAGGCTTTGAATCGGGGGGTCTCAGAAACCGATCCGTTGTATTAGCAGGCATATACCTGTATTGGCGGGCTTGCCAAACAGAAGCAAATTCACAGCTATGGCCTTCTGGGTAAAAAAGGTTTTCTTATTTTTGACGTATTATTTTTGTTAGCTTTGTTCAATTAAAACGTTTAAATATAATAAAAAATACATATAATAATGAAACTTAATAATTATATTTTTATTATATAATATTATTATATATTATTATAATATTATTATTATTATATAATATTTTTCCGCGCCTCCCCTGACATGCTCTGGCGCCCCCCAGGGGAGGCGCGCCTCACACTTTGAAAACCCCTGGTCTACAGAACAAATTACTGTTATACAATGACTTGCCTAATTACCCTAACTTTACACTAATTAACCTAGTTAAGCCTTTAAATGTTACTTTAAGCTGTATACAAGCATCTTGAAAAACATATAGTCAAATATTATTTACTGTCATCATGGCAAAGATAAAATAAATCAGTTATAAAACTATTATGTTTAGAAATGTGCTGAGAAAAATCTTCACTCCGTTAAACAGAAATTAGGGAAAACACTTTCAGGGGGGCTAATAATTCTACATCAACGTCTATGTTTGTATTCAATCAAAGAGATATTATATTGAGTAAATATTGGCAGAACCTACATTTATAAGGTAAACCAATCCTTTAAGAGGTCAAAGGTGAACACTTTTCAGAGCAGAGAACTTTACTTGGGGTAAATCAGCCAGCCTGCTTCAGAGGTAGGGCAAAGCGCTCAAAACATTGAGGCCAGAAAAGAAAGTTAATGTGATTCTTCTTGTGCTGCCCACAAACTAGCAGGAAAAAAGCCCCTGAGCATGCTGGGAGTGTCAGCGTTTGGCACAGAGGGCAGAAATTCATTAGCACACACCATCACCTCCGTGACACAACCGAGCGCAGTGGCAACAGTGATCTGCCCTCCTCTAGAGAACGCCAACGCGCACACACACTCAGCGTGAGGGAGGAAATAACGCTGCGTCAGCGCAAAACTGATGCTTCCTGTCGGGCGCATTAGCAGCTATAGGACAACACTGCCAGGACGCACATTAGCTGCTCTGCTATGGACTTATTAACCCTTGTGCACTGTTAAAATGTACTACCCTTTCGTTATGTTGGGGGCTGGTTTTGCCCCATTGACTTCCATTATAATCACATTTTTTTTATTGCAATGCCTTGACACCATATAATCATGCATTCTTGATCATGCATTGTCATTTTTACTGTTAATCATTAGTTGACCGCATTAACCCTTTAGATATTTCTGGCTTTTCTATGGAGTTCTGTAGAGTAAAGCAGCAGATTATCGTGTGTGTTTACCGAAATACACTTACTATGTTCTGAGAGTTGAGCTGATTATTTTTTTAGGTCCCACTTTATATTAAGTGTCATTAACTACTATGCACTTACATCAAAAAATAAATACAATGTACTTACTGTGTTCATAAAGTATTTGACAACACTTGTGGTGCTATTGAGTTGGGATAGAGGTTGGGTTATGGACAGGTTTGGTGGTGTGGGTAGGTTTAAGGGTGGGTTAAGGTGTAGGGAATGGTCAGCAGTGTATTTACAAAAGTAGTTACAAAAGTTAATTACAGATGTAATTACATACAGGTATTTAATCAAGCATAAATACACAATAAATACATGTATTTACACAATAAGTACATTGTAACAAATTATTAATTCCTGTGTGAGTACATATTAGTTAAGGCTACTTAATATAAGTTGGGACCTCTTTTATTTTCTGAAACATATCAAGGTAAGTGTGCAAAGGTCTCTCTAATGGGGCGTTCCCACCAGACACAGCGTACGCGAGTAAATCGCGATATTCACGCGTAAATAGACACGTGAACATTTTGAGTGTACTCACTTCATTCACGCATCAAATTGACTTCGCGATAGATGTGGATTTCCATCATGGCTGGGGTTTCTGTCTGCCCGGTGACTCTAGTTTCATTGTTAAATGGCTAACGTGGATTTTCCATAAGATCATTTGAGAGGTGCACACAGCTCTGAGTTCATCAACTTCTCCAGAGACTATACCTGAATGATGGAAGCTTTCAGCGGTGCTTTAGACTGAACCAAGCCCAGTTTGATGAGCTGTTCTCCCACGTTGGCAAGAGGATTTCCCTCTCAGGACACCAACTGCAGGTACAAACATCACACCCCTAACAGAGCAAGCTCCTGATTGGTTAACGCAGCGTGAATGTCCGCTAAAGTTCAGACTTTCCAACTCAAGCGAATCATGTGATTTGCATATTAAGTGCGTCAACAGCGTAAAACGATCAATTCGCACTACGTCATTCGCACCGCACGATGTCTATTTACGTCTTTGCATTGACTTAACATGTAAATCACTTGAGCTTGACGCTTCATCCACATCTTATGCAAACGCACAATTACACTATACTCCATATAAAAGCCAGAAACTAAGCTTTTTTTGCACTGCAACTGTTGATCAACAGTAAAAATGACAAATGTTATCTCTTCCCAATTGGAAAAACCAGCATCAATGAAGAATGCATGATTATTAGCTGTCATGGCTTTGCAATCCAAAAATATGGTTATAATGGAAGTCAATGGGGTCAAAACAGCCCCGAACATAATGAAAGGGTAGTTAATTTGCCCAGAGTGTATTGTTGACTTTTTTTCTTTTAATTACAAAGAATTTTCCCAAAATATGTGTCAAAATAAGATTTGTCAGCAAAAATTATTCCATTTGCGGAAACACAGAGAAAGTTGTGGCCAAATTAGGCTTTAAAATCACCCCAGATTGGATAAAAACATCTCCAACAGCACACAAGGGTTAAAAGCACTATGAGCAGCCCCTTCAGGATTTTGTGGGAGGAAAAGAAAATCTGATTTTTGCAAATAAATTGACAATTTATCACAAATTTTGGCATGTCTTTGATTTATTTAGCTGTAAAAATGTCGATTTTTGAGCCATTTATCTCTCAACAGGGAGACTAGTTTAAGAGAAGACTGTATTGACAACTTGAGACTTTGCAAACTGAATGAGCACTTTCTATTTATAAATAAAACATATTTAAATGTAAAACTATGCAGATGGTGGTAAGTGGTGCTTCGGCAGGAATGTAAACAGTATCCTGGATGCACAAGATCTGCGACAATCAAAAAAATAAATAAAACAGGGCAACATTTGGTTGATTTTGTCTTAAATTCAACGATCCGCAAAATCCTGAAGAGTCTGTATGAGGGTCTGGACGCGACCCAGAGGAAAAATGACAGCAATTTTGGTGTAGAAATGATTGAGAGGGAAATCACCAACAGAGTGCTGCAGTGTGTCATCAACAAAAGAAAAGGACTTTTGTTTGCCCTCCTGCATAATTAGCCCTCATGTGACCCACAGTAAATACTCAAGTGGGGATTGAGTCATTTTCCCCCAAAGCAGAGCACACTAGCAAAATGTAGCACTATATATAGTTTGCACCGCTGTCATGGCCTGTTTTTTTTTTATTTCCAATTTCAGGTCAATTTTATTAGATTGTTCTTTTTTTCCTGATTGGCTCATCAACACTGCTTCCAATAAAAAGTTGCAATGAACAAGACGGTTTGTTTAGAGGCATAGCATTTAATGCTGAACAGGCTTCTGCTATGCTTGATCATAGGCTGCTGTGAGGGATTCTTTGGGGAAATTAAGCTCTGCTTTAAAGGAATGACAGGTGAGCCACAGATTGGCTGTGTGAGGAAAGGGCGTCTGTACCATACACTGATCCTGGCCGCAAAGCAGACACACACACGCAGTAGTCGTGGTCAAGTGAGAAGTCAGCTGTAGAGGAAATTCAGTTTAAAACACGTTTCATAATCTGGAAAATGCATTATTTTGAGTACCACTGTAATGTGCATTCAGCGTTTATGTTTTAGCTTTTGTGCTGAGAAATGGCTAGCATATAGAAGCTATTAGAGGGAAAAACTAGCAAAATCACATATTATAGTCATATTTCACCACTTTCTTGTGTTTAATTGTATTAAAAATTGATGCCGCAAAAACAGCATTCATCTTACTCATTTAAAGTCAGATTTTTTAAATATTTGATGGTAAAATGTGACCTGTATGAGTTGTAGTGTTTTTACAACCCTGATGTACCTCAAGCAAAATTAAAGAAGGAACTGATGTGGTATTTCAAACAAACTCAGTTTATATGGAGTTGATTTTTGGGTGAGTTTCAGCTCAAAACACAATTTATCCTAATGCGAAGAAAACCTTTTCAAAGTTCCACGTCAAAAACATATAAAAATCCTAAAGGCAAACGTGGTGCGCTTCAAGTTCAAGTTGATAGAGTGGCTGACTGTGGTATTGGTAACCTAGCAACCAACAGTAAACAAGGCAAACATAACAGAGACAGCGGATTGGTCACGTCGGTGTAATGTTTGCTATGTTAGAGTTGAGGCGCCGTTCACATATCGTGTCTAAAAGTGCGTGAAAAATGCAAGTGCATCGCTTCCTTCATCATTTTCAACACGATTTGTGCTCACACTCCTTGGACGTCTGACATTGCTAGGTTGTTATAAAATTCATACGAATTAGCCACTAAACTGACAAAATACTTACGTTTTGGATGATCACACACACACAGTTAACGTTAGACCCATAAATAGGCCCACACGGAATCTGCGCGCGCAGGATTCTGCAGATTTCTGCAGATTTTTAGCCCATTATTAATTCTGTTTTTTAACTTGAGTAAATGTGTAAATCTTAATTTTTATTCAGTTTTTATTCAGTAATTATTACTTTTTATTCAATATACTAAGGGTTTAGTTATGATACTCTGCTGGATACTCCCAAAATAATTCTGCAGAAATCCGCAGATTTTTACCAAAATTCTCAGCAGAAATAGCAAAAAACGTCCGCAGATTCCGTCTGGCCCTGCTCATAAATAATCTGTTCAAAGAACGGTTGAAGCGAAAGCAACCGGTGCTGCTTACAAAAAAACAAATCTGGAACTCTTGAAAGACTGTGGGTGCATGTTCATCACTTTTTTCTAGTCTATTTGAAAGAGAACTGATCACACTAGTTGTGTTTCTAGACACAGTTGCTTCACGCAAGGAAACGGGAGCGCGCACACAATTGAAACAGTTTTAAAGATCATCTCAGCTGTTAGCGCGAGTGATTATCCTCTCATTCAGTATTCAGTATTTCTATTGCTCGCGCGAACGCAATTATTTTTGTCTTGTTGCTTCTTAATTCTAAGATGGCCTTTGCATGCATATTGGACCATCTTTATTGTCCAACCCTGCTTTTAAGAATTATTATCCGGGAAAATTATTTTCAACCAGCAAAAGTGGCTAGTGAGAGTGTCTGTCTAACCCACCACTGCTGAAATCTACCCGCATTTGGCGGGTGTTAATGTCAAGCCCTGTGTGTGTGTGTGTGTGTGTGTGTGTGTGTGTGTGTGTGTGTGTGTGTGTGTGTGTGTGTGTGTGTGTGTGTGTGTGTGTGTGTGTGTGTGTGTGTGTGTGTGTCTTCATAAAAGATTGAACTGCTCTTATGAACTGAATAGTCTATACTCAAAGCAAAAAAGCTATGATTTCAAAATTGCAAGGTGATTATAGACCTATATTCACCATTTCACATAAATCTGCATGCAAAAAATTATTTCCTTTTCTTTATAGCAAATGAACATGCATATTGATTGTTGCATAAAAATAATAGTTTAAATAACAAAATGATATTTAATTAACAAGCAACTTAAATATATTTAAATAGGATAAAAGTTAAAGAGCTAAGGACTGAAACCAGCTCAAATGGTCATGAATAAAACGTTTTACAGTGATGTACACTTACGTACAATTACGTAATTTATCGGCTTAAATATATCGGCCTAATTATGACATCGGATCGATAACGATAATCTTAAAAATAGTAACGTAATAGTAGATAACGATATGGGCGCCGATATATCGTGCATCTCTAATGTACACACACACACACACACACACACATATATATATATATGTATATGTATATATACATATATATATATATATATATATATATATATATATGTGTGTGTGTATATATATATATATATATATATATATGAAAAGATGTAGAAAAACAACAGTGTTTTGCTAATAAATAAAGCTTTACATTAAGCATTTTCTCTAGATAATCAGTTTGGGCCTTCAAAAAATTTTCAGAGAAGGAGGCCTTGAAGTGAAAAGGTTGAGAGCCCCTGATCTAAACATCATTGTGTAAATGGCAATGGAATGTTAGCTAAAATTACACAAGATCTTAGGTATTTTAAACTTTTTTTGTAACCCTAAAATGACAAACAAAAACTGATTTTGTTGAAGTACATCAGGGCCTTTAGTATCAACATGGAGAATTCAATCGCCAGCTTTTGAATGGTTAAAAGAATAGTTCACCCAAAAATTAAATTTCTTATTATTTACTCTGCTTGAACACAAAGTAAGTTATTTTAAAGGATGCTCGATGATGGTATGGTTGATTGACTTCAATAGTCATTTATTTTCCTACTATGGAAGTCAATGGACACCATCCACCAGCATTCTTCTAAATATCTTCTATTGCGTTTAACATAAGAAAGAATCTTAAAAGGTAATTATTATTTTTGGGTGAACTACCCCTTTAAATCATTTTTGATCCAAGTCCTGATTGGAAGCGAAACTCATCCACACACCAGCATATGCAGGAAAAAAATAAACAACCGTGAAACTTCCCACTGTTTTTCCCAAACCACATTAATCAGAGCAACCCACAAGAACAATTTCACCTCCCGTGCACCCTTTTTTTTTTGGCAGATACTCGGGTCAGATGTCAGTTTGCACACAGAGCAGTGCGGAGTGCATTGTGGGAAGTCGTTGTTGAATCAGGGTGCCGACCCATCATGCACCATTAAAAAGCAGCAGGTGGGAAGCAGGTCAGAGGCAGGCAGAGAGGGAGCAGGCAGGAGGCAGCAGGGAGACAAGGAGACTAAAGCAGGCCATGAGAACCACTGAGGAACATGGGCAACATCTCACAACGTTCATCTTTACATAAAATAAAAATCACACTTCAAATCTGCAGCAAGCTGTAGTGAAGGCTTCAGCGAGGCAATGAAATGAGGCCAGCCAGAACAACAACAACAAAACAACACTGAGAACAATTGGAGATGAAGTTTACACTATTAATGATATATTAATACAAATATAAGAAAAAATGAAAATAATAAACACAGCCAATGAAACGCTTACTTTACTATAGGGCTGAGAGGGGTCTGGCTGCAGACCTGGTGCAGTGCAATCTGGGCTGCATCCAATGCTTTTTAATGGGCTCACCTAACCCCACCCCTAACCCTACCCGTCACAGTGACGTCACTAGCTCCATTTGAGTGCATTGTGTCTGACATTGCATCGCTGAGTGATGCAGCCTCAGCTTGCATCATAAAGGCTGCATCTAGATGCTATTGATAGGGCTGCACAATATTAGAAAAATCTAGCATTGCGATGTATATATATTTATACAACAGTTCTGTCTGGTTCTCGAATCTGATTGGCTGATAGCCATGCGATATTCTGTAATAACAGCACTCGTACAGCCTCTTCACCTTTGTGTATCACTCCCCCAACAAAGTGACAGCAGATCAACAGACTCACTTTTGCAATATTTGACAAATATTGCAGCTGTTGGGCAACATAATGTACTTTTGAGGCTTTTTTTTTTTTTTAGTTGAGAATGTAGTTGTTTACATTGCAACTATGATGTCTATTTATAAGGTTAGTGCCTATATATATATATTGCGATATAAATACAAAATCTCAACTTTGCCATAAAAAATAGTGAAACTCTTTCTAGGTTTTTTTGTGTAGGCTTGTATTTTGCAGTACTGCAAAAATACTCAAAAATGCCTCTGTCGATGTAAAATAAAAAGAGAAATATGATTATATGAATTATGATGAATATGAATATGAATATGATGAATTATTCAAATTTCATAAGGATTTTATGCAAATACTGAACACAAATGCATTCTGAATTATTCCATAGGACCACGCCATATGCAGCTGCAACAACCAACGCCCGTTTAAAGCCATGCAAGCTATATGGTAGACTGATGAACACAACAAAAGCATTTAGCCACTGATAATCCACCTTAAGACTTAAACAAGTGATAAATCGAAGCGCTGTATTCCAGAAAATGAGCATGAAAAGCCGAGACTGACTCCAGCAAATAGGTCAAAGCCATCATCTGACACAGTTTCAAAAATACTGACTCCATTTCATCAAAACAGGCCACAGCAATATTTAATCAAGTGTACTATGCAATGCCCCCCTTTAAACTAGAGGAACACTAATCTGAACGGAAAAATCTAGATGATGTGAATCTGAAATGACTTTCCAATGGGATTATTCTTAACATAAACGTTGGTATAAGACCCTCTGTTTTCAAATTGAAATAACTAACAATGTGCAGTTGCCAAAAAAAATCAAGCATCAATGAGTTATTCAAAAATACTAAGCGAAAATACAATTCTGAAGAGCTTACAGTAATAGTTCACATCAAAAATGAAGATTTGCTGTTAATTTACTCTCCTTCAGGCCATCAACGACGATAATAGTATTAGTTTTAATACATAGACTAGTTAAATTTCTTCAAAGGCCATTTTTTATTGGCTTCACAAGACCTCAGTGCGTCATCAGGAGTCATGACTATTGATTTGGACTCGTTTGTCAGTGTTTTGAATCTAAAAACACCTGTCACCATTCACTGTCATTACATGAATCAGCTTAAAATCTTCTTTAAAGTTCTACCGAAGAAAACAGTCATCTTGGAAGACCTGTGGGTGAGTAAATTAATAGACAAGGTTCATTTATGAGTGAACTATCCCTTTAAGGCTCTTGACAGACAGAAAATGAAGGCTTGCTACACCAATATAGTACAGTAGATAACGTGTAGATCAGACATTTTTACCACACATCTGACTAAACTAACTGAAAATGTAACAAATAACAGCAGGCTGCTCTGTTCAACACATGATGACATTTAGGTTTCCTAAAATATAAGATCAGCAGAGCGCAGAAGCTCCCGACAGTGTTGCACAGCATCTGCTGCCTTATGGGCTTATACTGTTGCTGTTGGTATAGCAGACAAAATATAACCCCAAATCAGAAAAAAAGTTGGGACAGTATGGAATACGCAAATAAAAAAATTTCCTTTGACTTGAATTTCATTGCAGACAATACAACAAATATTATTCGATGTCTTCCTCATGACTTTTATAGTTGTTTTTCAAATAAACACGTATTTCAATTTTGGTTCTTTGCAACACATTTCAAAATAAAGTTGTAGCAGTAAAGCAATTCCCACTCTGTTATGTTCTTATCTTGACACTTAAAAGATGTTTAAGGACTAAAGATACAAGTGCTGAAGTGTTTCAGGTGTCATTTTGTCCCATTCTTCCCGCAAACAAGTTTTAATTTGGGCAACAGTACGGTGTCTTCCTTGTCGCATTGCCACACATTCTCTATTGGAGACTGGTCGGGACTGCAGGCAGACCAGTCAAGTACTTGTATCCTCTCCAGGGTTTTTGCACCATTTTAAAAGTAAAATGTAATGCTTTTTAAGACCTTTATAAGACCTCAACAAATATAATATAATATAATAATATATATAATAATATATTTAAGACCCAAAAAGTTTATAATTTCTTTGGAATAGGCTACTCATTTTAATGTCCTTGTTAGATTTAAATAAAGTGTGCCTCGTTACAGTATGGATAACATTTACATTTAGTCATTTAGCAGACGCTTTTATCCAAAGCGACTTACAAATGAGGACAAGGAAGCAATTTACACAACTAAGAGCAACAATGAATAAGTGCTATAGGCAAGTTTCAGGTCTGTAAAGTCTAAGAAGGGAAGTATTAGTAGTATTAGTATTTTTTTTTTTGTTTTTTTTTGGGTACAGTTAGTGTGATATTCAGAGAGGCAATTGCAGATTAGGAAGTGAAGTGGAGACTAAATAGTTGAGTTTTTAGTCGTTTCTTGAAAATAGCGAGTGACTCTGCCGTTCTGATGCAGTATCTGCCCACAACCCACAGTGCCTGCCTATGTGGTGATCTGGCTTATAGATTAATGACGATTCTTGATGTGGTACAGCCTGAGAGATCGGAGATCACGATTGTTCAGCTTAGGCTCTCACCCTTGTCCTTCACGCACTGAAATTCCTCCAGATTCCTGGAATCTTTTAAAGGGTCACGAAACACCAAAACACATGTGTTGAGCTGTTGACAGTCGTATATGTGTCCCACACTGCTGAAAACACTATTAGGACGCCTATATTTCACTAAAAAGTGTAAATTGGTTGTTTTTGCGTTATTTCAAGCAAATTCGTACTTCCGGTTTGAAACTAATTTTTGAAGCTGCGTCACGGTCATGACATAATAGCGTGTATTCCAGCGTGCAGACTGGACGCCTGTGCCAGAGTGAGTCTTATCACGTCTTACAGTGTGATGCATTAATGCATGAGTAAGGCTTGAATCAAACCAATCAGCGCGCTCTATTGTGCAACTTCATTAATATTCATTACTGTCAGAGTGTAGACGGCAGAGACGCCACGTTGTGTTGGCAAAACAAGCGTGAAGTGTTGCTTTTATAGTTTGCTGCCGTTAAGTTTTGTTTTCATTTTCTCTCTGTGAGAGCTCAGTGTCACGTGTGGATTAACAGTGTACGTGACGCGCAACAACAATAACTTACGTGTCTAAGGAGGATTATTGTTTACCTGAGAGCTGTTCTCATCTGCAAACGCTGAGATCCGGATTTGCTTTAGTCTCCTCTTAATAAAGACGCGGCTCTAGTTGCTGGTGATTGTCCTGTCTCTACAGATTTGGTAAGTGAGCGACCAGTGCTCTTTGTTTATTCAGTTCGTATTTTATTTGTATCAAACAAACCATTGCAACGAGTGTAAACAAGTTAGCACTAACAGTTACAACCAAACTATAACCTCGTGTTGGATTTTGTGACCGGAATAACACACGCGGCTTTCTGACGCTACCTGCCGTGTGCATCTAAGTTTCCGGGAAATGCGGAGGGTTTTTTTTCTCTCATTCGCCGTGCGGTATCAAACATTGCATAAAAAATACACGCTTAGAGCAGCTCCTCGAATCAAATATCACGTTTGACGGGAGGGACATGAATGAATTCCCTGAATGAAAGAGTCAAACTGCAGTTAAAGTCCACCATTTAATAATCTGGCAAATAATTCGACTACAGATGTCCATGTAAACACAGTCACATTGTCCGCGGTGGTTGTGTGTTTTGACTCTGAAACTCAGCGCGCCCAAATAGACACTCCCACACCCTCCCTCTTTTCTTCCTCCGACACTCCCCCCTAAACAGAGCTGGACACGCCCACTTTTCTGACTTTTTCCAAAGTAGAGGTGTGAAAACACCCTGCTGAAACGAGGGGGTTTCATGGCCCTTTAATGATGTTCAGCACTGTTGAAGGTGAAATACCCAAATGTCTTCCTCTCTTTCTTTGAGGATCATTGTTTTTAACATTTCAATAATTTTCGAACACATTTGTTGTCAAACTGGCGATCCTCGACCCATCTTTGCTCCTAAAGGATTAGACCTTTCTTAGATGCTGCCTTTGTACCAAATCATAATTACAATCACCTGTTGACATCACCTGTTTCAACTCACAGCATTATTTACTAGCCTAAACTGCTCCTGCCTTAACTTGTTTTGGAGTGTGTTGCAGGCCTGAATGACAGGAAAGGACGTATATTTACTGATGAAATGAAGTTGACCAGACAAAACATCAAATATTTTGTGTTCATGTTGTCTGCAATGAAACACAAGTCAAAGTTCATTGGGATATCACTGCTTTCTTTTTGTCTTTGTCTGATTTGGGATTGTAAGCATCCATCATTGCTTTAAAACACCTTCGTTTTTACAGTCCACTCTGTATATATAAAACCATCACAATACGTCCATCTGGGAGATCATCTTCAAAAGTACTTCCAATTATTATTATTATTTTTTTTATCAAGCTGACACAAAACCCCTCAGTGCCGACGGTAGACCGAAATGCAGACAACAAACGTGTTTCTGAATGTCTCCAGGTGATGTGGAGCGAGCTGAAGTGGAAGTAAAACGAAGCGAAGAAAGAAATGGAAAAAAGACAAATCAAAGCGCAGAGACAGCGTTAGCAATGTTGCCCATTTTCCCATGATCCTCTGTGGCCTGGTGCAGATGGTAAGAGGAGGGGTGGGAGGAGATGCTATTGTACACCAGAGCCCATATTATTATTTGGAGAGTTGTGAATAACCTTCATCATCCTCATTCCCCGTGCGTGAGTGAGTGAGTATGTGTGTGTGTGTGTGTGTGTGTATGAGAGTATGTGCCTATGTGTGCACATGAGTGAGTGTTTGAGGGACTTAGCAGAGAGTGTGTGTGTGTGTTTGTACATGAGTGAGTGCGTGCATGAGTGTGTACGATATCGCGAGTGTGTGAGTGAGTACGTGCGTGCGTGCATGCGAGTGCATGGGCATGCGTAAGTGTGTGTGTGTGTGTGTGTAGGCGAGTGCATGCGTGTGTGAGTGTTTGTGTGCGAGTGTCTGCATGTGCATCCGTGCATGAGTAATTGTGTGAGTGCATGTGTGTGTTTGTGCTTGTGTGAGTGAGTGGGTGCGTGTGTGCGTGAGACTGCATGTGTGTGCATGCTTGCACATGAGTGTTTATGTGAGTGTGTGTGTGCATAAGTTTGTGTGTGTGAGTAAGTATGTGTTCATGAGTATGTGTGTGTGTGTGTGTGTGGGCATGCGTTTGTGAGTGTGTGTTTGTGTAAATGTGTGTGTGTGCAAAAGTGAGTGTGTGTGCTTGCATGAGTGTGTGCATGCGAGTGCATGCATAAGTGTGTGCATGTGAGTGTGTGCGTAAGTGTTTGTGTTTGAATGTGTGCATGAGTGTTTGAATGCGTGTGCGTAAGTGTTTGTGTGTGTGTGAGTGCTTGCATGAATGTGTGAGTGAGTGTGTGTGCACGCGCGTGTGTGCATGCATGCAGGTTTGTGTGAATGAGTAAGTGTTTGTGTGTGTGTGTGTGTAAGAGTAAGTGTGTGTGTTGGTGATACTCTGGCCCTGGTACTGTACCGTCCTGCTGCTGCCGCTGCTGCTGCCGCTGGATCTGCTCCCCCTGTCTGTGCCTCTGCTGCAGGTTTTTACGCTTGGCGTAATCGTGGTCGAGTGGAGTGACCGCATACGGGGGAGAACTCGCACCTGCCGCGCCGTCGCCGGCCAGTGAAGCTCCTGCAGCCGCCACTGATGCTGAGCCAGTCATCGCTGCCGGACACGTCATCACACCGGCCGAGGACAGAGAGTCTTCATCATTCACAGACAGAAGCTTTTCCCTGTATGCACACGAAACATTGATCTTAAAAACTGCTCAAATTTCCACACTGCTAAAAGTCCCAGAACAGGTAGATCTTAAAACACTCAAAAAAACAAAAACAAAAATTATTAGAGCACTGTCTGCTGTTAAAAATAGCCTAGAGCGCCATTCGCTGCCAAAAATTAGCCTAGACGGCTGTTTGCTACGCAAAAAACTAGCCTAGAGCGACATTTGTCTGCTGATGAAAAAAGCCTAGAGTGTCCTTTTCTGTAGGAATGAACCTAGAGCACCATCTGCTGTGAAAAGCTAGCCTAGAGCTATTTAGTATAAACAGCATCGCAACATCTGCTATTAGCCTAGAGCGTCTGCTATTAAAAACTAGCCGAGAGCGCCATCTGCTGGTAAAAGTGTTCTACAGGGCTGTCTGCTTTTAAAAACTAGTCTAGAGCACCGTCTGCTGTTAAAAACTAGTCTATAGCGCCGTCTGCTGGTAAAAACTAGCCTAGAGCGCCGACTGCTGTTAAAAACCTAGCCTAGATTGCCATCCGCTGTTAAAAAACTAGCCTAGAGCACCGTCTGGTGTTAAAAAACTAGCCTACAGTGCCGTCTGCTGCTAAAAAGCTAGCCTAGAGCACAGTCTGCTGTTAAAAACTAGCTTAGAGCGCCATCTGCTGTTAAAAACAGGTCTAGAGCGCCGTCTGCTGTTAAAAACTAGTCTAGAGCGCCATCTGCTGTTAAAAACTAGCCTAGAGTGCCATCTGCTGTTAAAAACAGGTCTAGAGCGCCGTCTGCTGTTAAAAACTAGTCTAGAGCACAGTCTGCTGTTAAAAACTAGCCTAGAGCGCCATCTAATGTTAAAAACTAGCCTAGAGCGCCATCTGCTGTTAAAAACAGGTCTAGAGCGCCGTCTGCTGTTAAAAACTACTCTAGAGCGCCGTCTGCTGTCAAAAATCTAGGCTAGAGCACCGTCTGAAGTTAAAAACTAGTCTAGAGCGCCGTCTGCTGTTAAGAACTAGTCTAGAGCGCCGTCTGCTGTTAAGAACTAGTCTAGAGCGCCGTCTGCTGTTAAGAACTAGTCTAGAGCGCCGTCTGCTGTTAAAAACTGGTCTACAGCGCCGTCTGCTGTTAAAAACTAGTCTAGAGCGCCGTCTGCTGTTAAGAACTAGTCTAGAGCGCCGTCTGCTGTTAAGAACTAGTCTAGAGCGCCGTCTGCTGTTAAAAACTAGTCTAGAGCGCCGTCTGCTGTTAAGAACAAGTCTAGAGCGCCGTCTGCTGTTAAGAACTAGTCTAGAGCGCCGTCTGCTGTTAAGAACTAGTCTAGAGCGCCGTCTGCTGTTAAAAACTAGTCTAGAGCGGCCGAAAGTGCCATTCAAAACTATGTTAAAAATGTAAGAAATAATCCATGAATCACAATACACTGATTTATCTTCTCAGGCCTTCGAGAAGACCATCAAGCACATTTTTTTCTCTATAAATTATTCAAAACAATACCAAACGTCCATTGATGTCATATGACTTGCAATCTTACTTGTCGCTGCTGGTTTTAGGCGCGGTCTTCTCTTCTCCGCGTGCAAAGGGTCCAACCGCCGCTTCGGTGAGCAAGCAGAAGAACAGATCATAATCCAGTAGCTTCGTCTCAGCCTGCTCACCAGTATTTTCCACATTTTCCAGCAACTTGAGAATGGTGGCGCTTAGGCGGAAAAACAGCTGGCAAAACCAAAAGAAGAAACACAATCAGACAAACAAGAGAGTAAGAGAAATATTTATTTCAATAGAATTCATTCATTCATTTTCTTCTGCTTTTCCAGGGCTGGGTCATGGAGGCAGCAGTCTCAGGAGAGAACCCCAGACTTCCCTTTCACCAGACCCTTCCCTCCAACTTCTTCAGGGGGATCCCAAGGCGTTCCCAGGCCAGCCAAGAGACTTAGTCCCTCCAGCGTGTCCTGGGTCTTCCCTGATGCCTCCCACCAGTGAAACATGCCTGGACACAACCACCTAGGTAGGCGTCCAGGAGGCATCCGAAACAGATGCCTGAGCCACCTCAGCTGACTTGTCTCAATGTGGAGGAGCAGTGGCTCTACTCTGAGCTCCTCCCGGGTGACAGAGCTCCTCACCCTATCTACAAGGATGTGCCTTGCCAACCTGCTAAGGAAACTCATTTCAGCCGCTTGTATCCGAGATCTTGTCCTTTCGGTCATGACCCAAAGCTCATGACTATAGGTAAGAGTAAGAAAGTAGATTGACTGGGAAGTCAAGAGCTTTGCCTTTCGGCTCCATCTTTACCAGTGAATCGACCACATTACTGCTGCCGCCGCACCAATCCGCCTGTCAATCTCACGTTCCATCCTTCCCTCACTCACTCCTGAACAAAACCTCAAGATACTTGAACTCCTCCACCTGGGGTAAGAACTCTCCTCCAACCTGGAGATGGCAAGCCACCTTTCTTCGGTAGAGCCTTGGACTCGGAGGTGCTGATTATCATCTTAGCCGAACTGTTTCTCATCCCAGAAACTGGCTCTTGGAACATGGAACTTCAATAACATCTCATTTCTTAATAAAACGTATCAAAGTTTTGAGTGTTTTGAGGCATATTTAGTGTATTCTGACTTAAAGTAACCTCTGATTAGCTATTTCAAAGGTTACTGAAGGTCAAACTATACAAACTATGCTTCTAATTTGACTTTTGGCCGATATGTAGATACAAACACCTATTTTGCAAGAAAAATGTCTTGTAAGCACTAACCATGTCTATCAGTGCTCTAGATCTGCCGCTTTCAGACTGTTGAATAATTTTATTTCTCGCATGGGCGTGATTATGCATTCACAATGGTACGAACCATTAAAGAGGTGGCCATCTATTATTTTAACTGTTACTATTATTATTTAAGATCTAGATCAGAGAGAACTATTTCTCACTATTAAAGGGCTGACAATAGAGTCTATTTTAAGATATGGGATTATTGTTTGGTTTGGGAATCTGACAGTAAAAATGAAAACCCAAGTAAATAACTATAGGTGGGCATAGATATTTTTTTTTTTTTTAAATCTAGATTAATCTCAGAATTAATTTAGATTAATCTAGATTAAAATGGCTCATTTGAATTCTGCCGAAGGCATTCAGAATATGTGCGCTACCCAAATAATAAATCTTTGAGAACGGGTATCTCAAGCCAGGTGGCGCATTAGACCAGGGGCTCATCTCCTGTTTCCAAAATGCATCACAAACTGCTTGAGCGACTGTTCTACTGTGATAATTGGTGATGAAAATAAATGATGTTCAATAAGATGTGCTTGTGTTTACTCACTGTTTATTCAGATAAACATGAATGTTGACCTATGGGCTAGAGATCTGCGCGGGACTAAATTTTGAATCCCGCTCCCGCCCGCCAGGTTTTAGCCCTAACCCGACCGCTCCCACTTATATTAAGAATTTGTTGTCCCGCTGCCCGACCCGCCCAGTTTTCTGGCCGCCGCGCCCGATCCCGCTAAAGAGCGGGGGAGAACAAAACCAAAAAATCACCCAGCTATACAGTCCAGACAGCCAAGCTGTCTGTATAAACACACACACACACAGCACCAAGCACACACACACACAGACAAAGCTCTCGTGCGCACTAACACACACACAAGCACCAAGCAGACACACAGGCGTTTGCTGTCTCTCTCTCTCTCTCTCTCTCTCTCTCATTCGCGCGCGCACTAGCATACACACACCCAAGCACACACACAGGCAAAGCTCTCTCTCTCTCATTCGCATAGCAATATCCGTGATATTGCTAGACAGCCCGCTCCCGTCCCAAATTATTCCCGTTACCGACTGCTCCCGTGATTTATTCGGAAATTTATTCCCGCACCGCAGAAATCTGGTTGGGTCCCGCGGCGCCCGCGGGACAGCCGCGGGAATGCAGACCTCTACTGTAGGCCTACATAAGCTCCAATCAGCGATGTTTGACTACCTTAATCTGACTGAAGTCATAACTGAACTAAACAGAAATGGAATTAAGACAAGTGGAGTCTGCAGATATTAGTGCCATTATTGAAGTAAACACCGTGATCAGTGAACACAGTTATACTTTTCGCCATATTTTACGAAAAGATTCACATAGGCGGCTGTCAGTAAAGAACCGCACACGCACACACACGCGCACACACACACACACAAAACACACGCAAGCACACACATGGCAAAATGCGGAAGTTTTTTTTTTTCTATTTGGCATGTGTTATTAAATTCCATAACACTCTCACCAGTCATTACTCCTCTTCAAATCAGAAGAAGTATTTGGAGTATGAGCGGATGAATTCTGGCAGAAGATACAGGGTCTGGTTATGCAAGTATAATTTATAGATATAAACATTCTTTTGTTCCTTTTTCAATTAAATTGAGCAAGTAGGGTAGGACGGTCAAAAATTAAGATAACTGGATTGGTTGGCATAACAGAGGGCAGTGGGGGCATAATGTATTTTATTTTAATGTAATTTTTTAAATTATTGATTTTATGGAATCATTTTTATATCAGGAGGTATTTTAGGATTCGATTTCTAATGTGTATGTTTTGTTATATGTTGTTTTCTATGTACAGCAGAATGTTTTTTCTAAAACAAATTTCTCTTACGGGAGACAATAAACTTTACCTTGACCCCCGCCTGTACATCTTGTTTTGATGTACTTCAGGGGGGTCAACTATTAATTAGGGGGGTCAATCCCCCCAAACCCCCCCTATAATTTGCATTCTGGTTTTAGATCCAAAGGAGGTACTGGACAAATTCTGGGGTTTGTCAATAGTGCTCATTACAGCACATACCTCTAAGGCCTCCATGGCGAGGTCAGGAGGGTTGTGGTAGTGGATTTTGCGTGGATATCTGGCAGCCTCCTCATGCAGGTAATGAGCAGACTGGGGAGAGAAAGAAAGAAACGTTGTTGAGTATTGCGAAAACAATATTTCTTACGATATAACATTTCCCTAGAAACATGCTAAAGTCATTTATTTATTTGATGATATTAAAATAAACAGGCAAAAGATCAAGAAAAGATCGCTGGAGCGCTTTAAAGCTGTGAAGATCAGTCGATCCATCAGTGGATCACTCGTATGTCAGTTTATAGACACACCAGCTGATGTTCACAGCTTTAAAGCGCTCCAGTGTCCCTGTATCGGTGCTTACACTCAGCAAACAGCGGTGAATTCGGTGAACTAATGACCTTCATGGCCAATCACAGTCATTTTTGTTGAGCATGTGAACACAATGGCAAATCAGCGCTGTTTAAGAAAGCGCTCAAATGTTAGCAGGAAATGAACGTTACTAAAATTTCAGTAATAATTGGTCCCGAATTCCAGTATTGTGACAACACTAGGCTTGGGCGGTAATACGGTAATATGGTATACCGCGGTTCTAAAAATAGCAACAGTGTCAGTTTCAATAGCGTTATACCGTCATAAAAACAATGCACTTAAATAGGAGACAAATATTAAATAATAAATATTATTTATTTAATGCCTACAAATACGTATGCGTGATTGTCATGACGGGACAGTGGAGAGAGGGGGGGGGGGGGGGGGGGTGGGGGGGGTGAGGTGGGATTTAGAGTCGCACACCAAGTCACTTGCAGTGTGTGTGTGTGTGTGTGTAAATAAGAGAGCATGCTGTTTGTGTGTCGCTTGGTTCTCTCTCCCCCTCTCTCTGTGTGTGTGTGTGTGTAAATGAGAGAAAGAGAGAGAGAGAGACACACACATACACACACAGCATCTGGATGAGCGTGTGCTCGCTCGCTCGGGAGCGATATTGTAAAACCGCGATACCGCTCCCTTTTAAGTTACCGACCGCTCCCGTGCTTTTTTCGGAAACACGCACGCACGCACACACACATACACCGAGAGAGAGAGCGCGCGTGGTGTTGTGCGTCTCTCTCTCTCTGTGTGCGTGTGTGTGTGTGAGAGAGAGAGAGAGAGAGAGAGAGAGAAAGAGAGAGAGAGAGAGAGTGGTGCTGTGCGTCTCTCTCACGCTCTCTGTGTGTGTGTGTGTCCCGCGCAGATCACTAACACGAACAAGACAAACAGCTGACCGCGAACCTCGCATATATACGGTATTCAGTTTCTGAATGGTTTAGGCACAAGCCAACAGTTTGGTGACGCTGTCTGAGCCTTACGTCATATTTTTTTTATTATGCACGGTAATACCGGATACCGGTAAAATAGGGAGGAGGTTTGACGGCATCAAAATTTGGATACCGCCCAAGCCTGGACAACACTAATAGTTATTACTTGGTATAGTTAAAATATCGCTCTGCTATGTTAGTTATGTATAGGTTTAGTATAGCTCTAACGTCTAGTAATGTGTTTATATTAATAATTATGTTTATTTCTGAAGCACAGACACATAAATTCGTTCCACTGTATGTGAAATGACAATAAAGCTCAACTTGACATGTCTTGACTTGTATCGTCACACAATAATCGTGATATTACCGTATCATTGGGGCACCTCCATAAGTTAGCATGCGAAATAAGCAGCGAGCGAATCACCTTTTTGTACATCTGCAGGTAGTCTTTGGGCGGCTGTTTGCGCTTCTCTGCAATCTTGGCTAGCATGTAGTGAATGAGCCACTCTTCCTCATCACCGTCACAGCGAGAAGCGCTCTGAAAACACTGCGACGCCGTCTCCAACATCGAGTCTCTGCGCTCCTCCATCTGCAACCACAGGCAAACACACGCACAAACAAACCTTCAAATTTCCTGCGCCTTCAGCACACACACTCATGCACAGTCATTCTGCCCTCCTGCCTCACACGTCACACAGCTAATGTATACCCAAACATTTATTTATACACCTTATTTTTGCACTTCCAGCTAGATGCTAAATGCTTTTCATTGTCTCTGTATTGTAATCAACACAACAGATTTTTTGTGTTGTGGGCGGGAGTGGGCGTGGCCAGCAGGGGAGAACGTGAGCGAACGAAGCTAGCTCACAAAATGAGACAAACCGTGAGGAGACGCATGAGTTTATAGTTTACAAAGTTAAAATGCAAAGAAATAAATATTGATTTAATGCCCTGCTACATTTGTTATTCGTAATTTCATATACACATAACCACAATTTATATCATTATAAAAATAAGTGTGTTCATGTAAACCCTATAAATGAGGATTCTCCCTCAATCCCCGTATCCAGCAGACTCAGTGCAGCAGGTCTCCTGACCTGTCTATTTTAACCATTAGCCCTGCTGGTAATCTGGAGGATTTAGGCAAACACAGCAGCACGGCGATGTGTCTGAATGTGAACGAACTCCTGATAAAAGACAGCGTCCGCCATTCTCTAATTCTCGTGCTGCTCTCCCGACAAAAATGCTAGCAGCACACACACAGCTTTGCTGTATGATCGGCCCTGACAAGATCGCGGGGGAAAACATGCAACAAACCGCGTGGATGATGGAAACAAACGCATATGAGCTTTCATGAACGGCTAAATACTGTGTGCCCGTGGGTCCGTGACGTGTCTCACAGCTCGGGCTTGACACTGGCAGGTCTCATGAATAATTAAGCAGCCGGCTCTTCTCATAGGATAAGAAAACTCAGCTATGAATAATAATGAGAAACCGAAGCGTCATTATTGCACTTGCAGTACTGCGCTACGTCGCTGATTTTGATCCCGCCCCAAAAATCATTGTAAACCCGGAAGCTGAAATTAGCTGACAAAAGCTCAACATTATCCAGTTTCCCCCACAATTAAAGCTGACAGGTGCTAACATTGTCTTAACTGATGCTCAACACACACAAATCTGTTAATATATAAAAAAAAGTTATCCAGGGTGTCCTGAACCTTTAAAGGGGCTAATAATATCGAGCTATTAAAATAGGTTTCAAAATATTCAAACCTGCTTTTATCCTAGCTGAAATAAAACAAATAAGCCTTTCTCCAGAAGAAAAAATATTATAGGAAATACTGTAAAAAAAAAAAAAAACCTTCGTTAAACATCATTTGGGAAATATTTATATATAACAATAAATTCACAGGTGGACGAATAATTTTCACTTCAACTGATAATCGTTTTGAATAATCGTGATTACAATTACGACCAAAATAATCGTGATTATGATTTTTCCCATAATCGAGCAGCCCTAATGGCTATAAAACAAAATTGTCTGAAACAGACAGAGTACCTGTTTGGTCAAGTCTGCCGGGAGTTGGTGTCCCCACTGTTTGAGCTGTCTGGAAGCGAAGGAGTGCAGGGCGTAAGACATAGTCCCGTACTCGATCCACAGGGAGAGGTTGGAGCCGTCGATCTCCAGGGCGCGTCTAAAGCAGGTCAGCACAGCCAGAGAGTTCTTCCAGATGGGCCCGTCGCTGCGCAGCTCATTGGAGTTTAGCTTGTCCTGGATGCGGCTGGCACGTGCCAATGCCATGCCCGCCCATGAATCAAACCTACGAGAGAGACAGGCGACAAAATAAGTGAACAATCAATAAATGGATTCAATGATCTATGCTAAGCTTAGCTAAAAGTGCTCCAGCTACACCCCGAGATCAGCTGAACGGATTCATGACTCTGTTAACCAATAGGAGAGTCATAAAATGAGCATATTCGCAAAAACAAAAGTGGAGTTTACCTTTAAGCACTCGCTGAGAGCTCGTTCGACTGACCTGTTGGGAGACATGCAGATGTCGTGCATGTAGAACTTGATGGCTTTGGACTGCTCTTTGTTTTTGAAGTGATAATCAGCGAGCAGGTAATACAGCTCATTGACCACAGGGGGCGCTGGAGATGCTCCTTCAGGAAGGGCAGGAACCTTTGGAGGTAAACAATTTAAATTAATTGAATTCCTAATTTTACATTTATTTGTCACATATAGAGTCATACACAGGATGATGCGCAGTAGATAATGACAATAAGAATCTACATTTGGAGTAGGGTTGTAACAATATACCGGTATGACGGTCTACCACGATTTGAACGTGCACGATTATCATACCATGAACAATTGCATATCAACGGTTTTAACCCTTAAAGACCGAGACAGCCGCCCGCGGCTAAAAATAAGTATTGCTCTTAAATGTTTAATAACTTTTGATCCGCTGATCCGATTCATACAATTCAAAGATTGGCATAAAGAAGAGAGTCTCAGCTTTCCAGTGCTGTATCACATAACATTCGCGGCTCCGGAGGCTCCGGGATCAGTGCGGTTACGTCATCAAAATTTGACAACGCTGATTTGACAAAGAAACGCTCGTCACTGTGTCTCCGGACAAACCAGACACGATACATTGATGCATTGTCCCTCCTCCATGCCCAGATTGGTTCAAACTCGCTATATCACAACCAATAAGCATAGGTTTCGCTTTTGTTTGTGGACCAAAAACGAGCTTTTTGAACAACACGGAATGAGAGATAGGCATACATTTATGCGCGGCTAAATAAAACGCAAAAAAAAAAAAGTTTTGCATGAAATAATTCTCATACTAAGTACTTTTGCATGCACAGCAGCACAGAAACATGACAAAACAGTGACACAGCAAAGACGAACTGCTGCTCTTGCTGTTTTCAAAAGACGCAAATGAAGGTGCGGCTGTTAGTCTGCATTGCAGACAACCACATCCAAATCCATATCCACAGACAACCATATCCATGCTGGCACATAAAACCTAAGGATGTTCCATATTGAATCTAGTTTCGTTATGTAACTATTTATAGTATAGTAAATATTTATATCTATTTTTTACTGAGGATTTGCACCATGTTTATTTGGACTTTATTTGGACTTTGACACATTATTTATTATTCTCTTATTTTTTTATTTGTTCATTGTAAGTGATGTTGTTTATAGTAACTGAAAATATATTATTTGGAAAAAGTCAAATTTGCTTCACTGTTCTATTATTTTGTAACATTTGTAACATACCGTATACCGCGAAACCGTCAAACCGTGGTATTGTTTTAGACGATTATCATACCGTAAAAAATTCATACCGTTACAACCCTAATTTGGAGGAATAGAAGTTATGCAATAGCAAATAAAAGCAAATTTAAACTAATTAAAGACTTTTATTATAGAGTATGTGGTTGTAGAAAAAACACCTTTACAGCAAATAATACCTTGACTTCTAGGTGATCAGTTGGTATCAGAAGTGGCTTATATGAAAGGCAAAGGCCTCTAGATTACACTTATTTGACCACAATGAAACATGATCATGCCTTGATTTTTAATGAAGATTCTTCATCGTGAATGCCTCCTTCATATTACCCCAGACATGCTCAATAATGTTCATGTCTGGTGACTGGGCTGGCCAATCCTGGAGCAGCTTGACCTTCATTGCTTTCAGGAGCTTTGATGTGGAGGCTGAAGTATGAGGAGCGCTATCCTGCTGGAGAATTGTCCCTCTCCTGTGGTTTGTAATGTAATGGGCAGCACAAATGTCTTGATACCTCAGGCTGTTGATGTTGATCATCCACTCTGCAGATCACTCACACACCCCCATACTGAATGTAACCCCAAACCATGATTTTTAATTCACCAAACTTGACTGATTTCTATGAGAATCTTGGCTCTATGCTGGTTCCAGTAGGTCTTCTGCAGTATTTGTGATGAGTGGGATGGGGACTGAAGAAAAGGCAACAGAAAAGGTGTGTAAAAGCGCTCATACCTTTACTGCACCTCCTTCAATATAGGCAGACACGTCGTCTATGGAGAGCGTTGGGCCGTCAGTGCGCGGGATTATTCCAGAAAGTCTTTTGAGCAGGTTGGCGAGGTCAGCAGATACAGTGCTGGTCTTATAGCTGTCAAACTCTGGCATGGTCTTGGGTTTGAAGTACTCAAACATGAAGACGGCTTCTTTCCAGTGAAGCTCCACCTAGATCAGAGACAGAGACAATACAGATAGATTAATGCAGATTGGTGCAGTATAAAATGATTAAAAAGTTACTGTTTGTACGACTTGCATTATTTATATAATTTAGTATTAATTGTATGCTATTTTAGCTTTCGTTTTTTTGTTTTGTCACACATTTTTGTGATTTGAGTATTTTTAAAAAAGGGACAGTTTACTCGAAAGTGAAAATTCTATTATCATTTACTCATCCTTTACTTGTAGCAAACCTGTTGGACTTTATTTATTCCGTTAAACACAAAAGCAGATCTTGTGAGCAGAGCTAAAAACCTGTAACCATTCACGTCCATATTATTTGGTTTTCCTACTACAGGAGTCAATAGCTGCAGGTTTAAGCTTTCTTTAACATATTTTAATTAGTGGTCAACAGCAGAAAGAAACTTAAAAAGGTTTGGAACCACCTGAGGATGAGCAAATACTACGTACATTTGAATTTTGGGGCGAACTATTCCTTTAAACCAGGGATCACCAAACTTGTTCCTGGAGGGCCGGTGTCCTGCAGATTTTAGCTCCAACCCTAATCAAACACAACTTAATGAGCTAATCAAGGTCTTACTAGGTATACTTGAAACACCCAGGCAGGTGTGTTGAGGCAAGTTGGAGCTAAACCCTGCAGGGACACCAGCCCTCCAGGGCCAAAATTGGTGACCCCTGTGTTAAATATTAAACTTGGATCTTTATTTTGGTAATTTCATCATTTTAATGCACTCATTTGACATTTAAAACAGCAAATATTTATAATTTAGCTCATTTCAATTAGCAATATGAGTTTAATATTTAAATGTTATTATTAATTTATTATAATTTTTATTATAAATATATTTAAATTTTAAAATATGTATTATATTTTAAATGTTTAGAATTTTTTATTTTATAATTAACATGCCTGTTAATTGAGAAAACTGAATCTGCTTTGAGTATTTCTTACTAGGAAAAAAAACTAGTTTTATTTTTATCATATATATATATAAACCTTATAATATTTAACAAAAATTACAAGAAATAAAAATACACAATAAATAAAAAAAAATAGTATCACTACTTCTGAAAATATTTAAATAAAGTATATTTTTCTATATACAAAATTATTAGCTTTAAGTTTTTTGGTCTCATTTTACAATAAGGTTTCATTAGACAATGTATTAACTAACATGAACTAATTATGAACAGTACAGTACTTATTAAACAGATTAACGTTTACTCATGCATTATTAACATGCAAATGCTTGCTTATTAACAGTAGTGAATGCACCGAGAGCTAACAATGAACAACTGTATTTTTATTAACCAACGTTAAACAACATGAATAAATACTCTAACAATATTGTACAAAACACTGTACATCATTATTTTTTCATGTTAGTAAATGCATGAACTAATACAACCTTACTATATAATTAAATACCCAATTTGGTACATTTCTAGCATTTAATTTCTACAATACAGTACAACATTGTCTTTGAAAGTGGGGTTATGTTAACTTTTCTCCTTCTCTGTCTGTATGTCAATGTGTAATATGGTGAGTTTGGGGGGAATTTGGGGGAATTTGAGCTGATTTCCTGTCAGTCTGTGAGTGAGAATACAGTCCTTTTTGTCCCTCACAGGAATAACAGTAATCTGAACACAATAGCAGAGGTGTAATGTGTCCCGCGCACTCATCGTCAAAGAAAAAAAACATGACAAAAGACTAAATTATCAATTGGCACAAAAGGCAATTCCCCCACTGGCATCACGACAGCTTTATGAGCTCAACGAATAAAACAGGGCAGACAATTTGTTCTGATTAGTTTTGATTAAAAACACTAACAACACCGGATCAGACCAATGAAACAACATGGTTAAAAGAATAAAAAGAGGTTATACTGATAATTCATTCATTCAGAGAAAGAAGAAGGAATTCATACAATCATAATGAGTTATGAACATAAACAAGCGTCTTTATTCAGGAAATCAGCAACCTAATTTGTTTGTAATTTGTCCTGATTCTGAGTCTGAGGGTGCTTTCACACTTGGTTCATTTGCCTGGACTGTACCAAGTTCGATTGTCTCCACCTGCCACCTCCTCGGTTGGTTTGTGTTCATGTCTTGAACAGTGATCTGCAGAAGCTGCTTTTGGAGGAGACAAGCAGACATCACTGTGTATCACTGTGTTTGCCCTGGCTCAGTCCCGCGCGTGTCACCGAGGTACGAAACGTGACACACACACACACACACACACAAACACAAACACGAAAGAACGTTATGAAAACGATAGTTTGTTGTACAGTTGGCAGTTCACTTCCGTGATTTGGTACGATTGCATTCACATCAGAAGTGAACCGTACCCCAGACCACCTCTTTCAGGCGGACTCGGGTACGGTTCACGGGTGCGCACCCGAGTTCAGAAGACACGTTCACACTAGCGAAACGTACCCAGGGCCGGCGCGTCCAAAGAGGCGACCTAGGCAGCCGTCTAGGGCGGCAGTATAGAGAGGGCGGCGTCTACGTCTAGTTATGTCCGCGACACCTCCCTCACCACCCGCGTCCTCAGATATATTCGCGCATAGACGATAGAATAGAGAGGGCGGCGTCAGCGTCACCTCCATCAGCACCCGCGCGTCCTCAGTTATATCCACGCATAGGGCGGCAGAATTGAGGTCCACGACACCCGCGCGTCCTCAGTTATAGCCGCGCATAGGGCGGCAGAATAAAGAGCGCAGTGTCCGCGACATCTCCCTCCCTCAGCACCCGCGCGTCCTCAGTTATATCCGCGCATAGAGCGCCGGAAAAGAGGTCCGCGACACCTCACTTCATTTTCATAACCGGTCACTTTCGTTTTCACATTGGGGTTGAGGGCGGCGTGATCGTCCTCTGCCTAGAGCGGCAGTTCAGACTGCTCCGGCCCTGAACATACCGTACTATGACGTCAAACGAACCCGGCTGTGGACCCAAAGTGCTAATGTGAAAGCACCCTGAGAAGCAGTACGACTAGGCCTGACACAATAATCAATCTATCGTCTTATCGCATAGTGACCTCAGTCAATATATCGCCCATATATAAAAACTAATTCTACCAACATTTGAGCTGATTGTACAACATCTCCATCTCTATCGGAGGAATCAGTGTCAGCATGGTAAAAACACTACAGTATTTACTATAAATTAATAATTAATAATAATAATTCATTAATATTAACTATGGATTAATAAAGGGACTAAGCCGACAAGAAAATGAATGAATGAATAAAGTACATAAGTAAATATGTAAATAAATAAACTAAATAAATGAATGGATGAATAAATAAAGGAAGTAGATAAGGAAGTAAATAAGCAAAAAAAGCAAGAAAAAAAGCAAATAAATAAATACAAAAACAGATGGGTGGCTGGAAACACGGACGAAGAATTTCACTTGCTAACAATTTGCCATTTCTATTGCTCAGACCCACAGAGTTCAATACAAAGTTGCTAGTTGCCTGCAAAAATCCCGGGCGGCATCTCAAGCACACAATCCGTTTCCTCCAGAGACACAGAAATAAGCGCAGAGCAGCTCCTTTGTTGTTTCGGTGGATGTTTTGGTACAGCAGTTCCTGTGTATTGAGCAGTGCGGCATAATGGGAGTGTGTGTGTGTGTGTGTGTGTGTGTGTGTGTGTGTGTGGGTGGCCAAATGATCAATGTGACTCTTGCTGCTAAAAGATAATCAATCAGTGAATTATTGCTGACTCAGGGCGACGGATCACCCACCTGCTTTCATTAGCACAGAGCTAGCTCCAGTTCTCCTTTTAAAGCTTCAGGGCATAAAATGAGAGTCGTGCTAAAGAGAAACCCGTGGGATTGAAGGAACCAGAGTCAACACTATTAACTTAAAGGGCACCTATGATGCAAAATCAACATTTGGAAGCAGTTTGGACAGGACTGTGTGCAGGTATAGTGTGTCCACAGCCATACTGGAGTGATAGAAACACAACAACAAGTCTCTTTTTTAAAATTTCCTGACGGTAAAATAGGATCCAAAGCCCAGTGATTTGAGGATGACCACAACGTGATGTAGGAGTGAGGTTTTCCCCGCCCACCGAATTGATTGACAGACGAGTATTAACATGTCTCCATAGTAAACATGTCCACAGTACAGGGTTTGCAAAGACACTGGGTAGAGGTGTGAACCTATACTGGCCACTTAATATAAGGTGGGACCAAAGTTTATTGTATTGTCTGCGTTGTGTTGAAATTACTTGAAATCAGTCCCCCTCCTCCATGTCCAGATTGGTTCAAACTCGCTATATCACAACCAATAAGCATAGGTTTCGCTTTTGTTTGTGGACCAAAAACGAGCTTTTTGAACAACACGGAATGAGAGATAGGCATACATTTATGCGCGGCTAAATAAAATGCAAAAAAAAAAGTTTTGCATGAAATAATTCTCATACTAAGTACTTTTGCATGCACAGCAGCACAGAAACATGACAAAACAGTGACACAGCAAAGACGAACTGCTGCTCTTGCTGTTTTCAAAAGACGCAAATGAAGGTGCGGCTGTTTGTCTGCATTGCAGACAACCACATCCAAATCCATATCCACAGACAACCATATCCATGCTGGCACATAAAACCTAAGGATGTTCCATATTGAATCTAGTTTCGTTATGTAACTATTTATAGTATAGTAAATATTTATATCTATTTTTTACTGAGGATTTGCACCATGTTTATTTGGACTTTGACGCATTATTTATTATTTTCTTATTTTTTTATTTGTTCATTGTAAGTGGTGTTGTTTATAGTAACTGAAAATATATTATTTGGAAAAAGTCAAATTTGCTTCACTGTTCTATTATTTTGTAAAAAAATTTTTCTGTTTAGTTCATTCCCAGAACTTTTAGGCAAATACATTGTCAGTAAATAAATGAATTTTTTTCCCCCATAAAAAAACGCCTTGGAATAACATTGAAATAAATTGCTATAACTTGCTCAGGGAATTGTGGATGTGGACAAAATTTATTTTGGATGTATAAAACATCATAACATGTATTTCTAAAGAAAGAAAAACAAACTTCATAAGGTTTTGTTTGAAATAACTAGAAAATGACACTTTTTTTAAAAATCGTTTCTGGAAAATTTTGGAATATTTTCTGTCTGTTCATATGTTTTTGGACCAAAAAATAATTTAGACTGGACCTTTAAATGATACAGATTGAAACTTCAGGTTCTCCTGTTTAAAATGATATATGACACTTGAGGCTGACTGCTAAAATAAAAATAAAACTGCTTTTAAAAAAAATAATAATATAGGCCCATTAGTTGCCCACAAAATACCTCTAGGTCTTTAAGGGTTAAGGTTGTGTAATTTATGGGACCATTTTCCTTTTTAGCTAAACTAAGCCTTTAATAATAGCGTGAGATCTCTGAAGTGTGTGTTACCTGCGGAGCAGAATGTTCCTCCAGATATCGGGCTTTGCTCTTCTTGCTGGGGTACGCGTACAGACAGAAGAAACACTGCTCGAGTGCCATCTCCAGATCCTCTTTATAAGGCAGATTCTCATGTCCCGAGAGCTTCTCCCGCAGAACGCGCATCTGAACACACACACACACACACACACACACACACACAATCACTACAAATGAGCAAATCATAAATTTATATGAACAAATGACACTGCAGACGCATTGCTCTTCAGTCCTCCATTACTGTCTGGTTCAGCTCAGCCAGCAAATCAGACATAAAAAGACCGCAACGCACTATTAGGACGACTGAGAGGACAATTTAGGGATCTCTATGCACTACAATATCTATTCCAGGCATAAAAAAAGTCTGATTTCCTCAGGCCACATCTGCCTAAAATAACAAGAGCATCGATTGTTACCGGCTTTTATGCTCATAGCTAGGGCCAGACAGTATCTGTGGACAATTTTAAGATTGTATCATCTTAATTTCCAAAACATGGACCCAGAGCAACTGATCATTTGAGAAATGAGACTCACAAAGAACTTGAGCAGAGCTCCATCAGAGTTGCAGCACCAGGAGCGCCGGCCCAAACATTCATGTGCTGTGTTCAGAAGCATGAGGGAGGAGGGCAGCAATGGAGTATCATCTTCTACACAAAACACACACACACACACACACACACACACACACACACACACACACACACACACACACACACACACACACACAGCGGCCTCAATAACAGTCAAATACTGAGGTTATCACAGGCCTGTTTACAACTGCTATTACATTATTAGATTTCATAAATCCCATGCAAGTGAGCAGCTTAAAACGCAGGTGAAAATGGGCTAAATACATGGACAAAACACACCCCAACATATTTTTTATGAATACAGTTAAAGTCAGAATAATTTATAAATATTAATAATTAATTATTAGCAATACATTTTCTTCTTCAAATATTTCCCGAATGATGTTGAAGAGATTCAGGAATTTTTCACAGTATTTCCTATAATGTTTTTTCTTCTGGAGAAAGTCTTATTTGTTTTATTTCGGCTAGAATAAAAGCGGTTATTAATTTTTTTAAAAGCATTTTAAGGTCAATATTATTAGCCCCCTTAAGCAATATCTGTTTGGGATTGTCTCCAGAATAAACCACTGTTATACAATGACTTGCCTAATTACACTAAATATACCCTAATTAACCTAGTTAAGCCTTTAAATGTCACTTTAAGCTGAATACTAGTGTCATCATGTCGAGTTATTAAAACTTTTTTGTTTAGAAATGTACAGGAGAAATACAGAAGGGCTGATAATTCTGACTTCAACTGTACATACATGATTACAAAACACAACCTTCGAGATCTTTTATATTTCATAAATAAACAAACTGAACAGAAAAAGGTAGATTATTATTATGTCTGGTCCATTATAAGATTGCTCTTAAATGTGATTTTAGTTGATTGATACCCTCGTCCTCCTCGTCTGCGATGTGCTGCCGCAGCATGCAGTCAAAAGCTGCCTCTTCCTGTTTGATGAGGTGATACAGCAGAATCCAAGGCAGCAGAGATGAGAAATGAGCCTCTTTGGGGTCGTCGGGTAAGACCATGCTGGTGGCGATTAACTGGAGAAAACACACACACACACACATACATACATGCAAGAGTACAGAATGAGAAAAACAGTGGTGTACATTGGTGTGAAGTACCAATTACAAAAACTCAAATAACAGTTTAACTCAAAAAGTTTTTCTCAGGAATCGTTCATTACTAAGAAGAAAAAAAATGTGTATTTGTGAAATAAATTGTGGCTGTGATTATTTCTTTTACTTGTATTTAATGTTTCCTTTATTCTTGTTTATGTAAAGCACTTTGAATTATCATTGTGTATTGCAATGCTTATACTTAAGTACTTATTGGTTCTCCTATTTCATTTTACTTAAGTACTTATCTATATTTTTTCGCCGATATTTTCCTTTTTTACGATATTTTCCTTTTACTTAAGTACTTATCGGTACTTTTACTCTGATCTTTTCCGATATTTTCCGATTTTCTATATTTTCCTTTTTCTTAAGTACTTATCGGTACTTTTATGCCTATATTTTCCTCTTTTTCACAATATTTTCCTTTCACTTATGTACTTATCGGTACTTTTCCTCTGATATTTTCCTATGTCCGAGATTTTCCTTTTACTTAAGTACTTATTGATACTTTTACTTCGTATTTTCCTATTTTTTTTCCTTTTTTACGATATTTTCTTTTTACTTAAGTACTTTTACTCAAATCTTTTCCTATTTTTTCATTTTCCCGATATTTTTCTTTTACTTAAGTACTTATCGGTACTTTTACTCTGATATTTTCCTATTTTTCCCAATATTTTCCTTTCACTTAAGTACTTATCGGTACTTTTACTCCAATATATTCCTATTTTTTTCTTTTTTACGATATTTTACTTTTACTTAAGTACTTATCGGTACTTTTATGCCTTTATTTTCCTCTTTTTCAAAATATTTTCCTTTCACTTATGTACTTATCGGTACTTTTCCTCTGATATTTTCCTATTTCCGATATTTTCCTTTTACTTAAGTACTTATTGGTACTTTTACTTCGTATTTTCCTATTATTTTTCTTTTTTACAATATTTTCCTTTTACTTAAGTACTTTTACTCTAATTTTTTCCTATTTTTTCCTTTTTCCAATATTTTTCTTTACTTAAGTACTTATCGGTACTTTTACTCTGATATTTTCCTAGATTTTCAGATTTTCAATATTTTCCTTTCACTTAAGTACTTATCGGTACTTTAAGGCCAATATTTTCCTATTTTTCATAATATTTTCCTTTCACTTAAGTACCTATTGGTAGTTTTATGCCAATATTTTCCTATTTTTCCCAATATTTTCCTTTTACTTAAGTACTTATCGGTACTTTTAGTCTGATATTTTCCTATTTCTAATATTTTCCTTTTACTTAAGTACTCATCGGTACTTTTACTCTGATATTTTCCTATTTCTCTTTTACTTAACTACTTATCGGTAGTTTTATCGTAGAGTGATCCGAATCATGAGTTTCTTGATCCGCCGTTACACCACTAACCATTAGTACTTTTAGAAAAGCTACTTTTTACTCATAATTTGAGTGGTGTTTACAACAGAAATTTTTACTCTACTCCAACCAAGTGGTTTGTGTATGCTTTTTCCGTACACTTTCCAGCACAGTATGTGTAAACAGGCTTCTCATGAGCCCACTCTGACCTGGATGAGGTTGTTCGCGAGCCGTGGTAGATTTGCAGATCGTGGCGTTTGGCGGAGCAGCTCCGGCTTGTCAGTGATGCAGCTTTCGATGCCCTTCAGAAGAGCCGTGATGGTGGAAATCCACTCTTCCTTAGCAGAGGGGCTGCTGGGTAATGCAGAGTTCAAGTGCTGCAGGGCTTCATTGAGAGACACTTCAGTCGTCTCCAGGCAGGAGCTGAAGTCTTTCTGACGCAGCAGGGAACTCTGCAGAGAAAGATGGATGTGGGGTTAACAGGTTAAGTGTCTGAAAACAACACACTTTTGCAGAATTGAAGGCTTTACGGGACGTTCAGTCAGATGCGTCGCATTTAAGACAAATGGGATATTCCACACTTGGAGTAAAGCTAGTCATTATTCTGGTAATAACTGGCTTTTAACATGCCGCTCTATCATTTAAAGCTGTGATCTGAATGTGCTGTCAGTGGGGAAAATATTACTGTGGTGTATGAGACTGTCTATCATGCTTTAATTGAAGCCTGTATGAACTACATTATAAAAGGTATTCATAATGCATAATTATATGCATTGTAATGGATTATAATGCTGATCAAAAGTGCTCTACAGTATTCACTTTTGATCATGAATACAGCACAATATAAAAAAATTAAATAACTGTTATTATTCTCTTTTTATCAGTGTTTTAAAATACAATGTATTACAGTGAAAGTTAATCTGAATAATAGCCAAAACACTCATATCTTCATTATCTTTACAGGTATATCTATATATAATGTCGGTATTGACATACACAGGTTTAACCGATATGGCTTTTTATATAAAGCATAAAATGCTGTCGATAGGCAAAAGAAAAACAAACACTTTTGCTCCAAAGCAGCAAAACTGTAACTATTACAGCTACTAAAATGTAGTTCAGTGCAACATTGGTCTATATGGCAAAATTTGTCAGGTATTTTAAAACAAAAATTGTTTGATAAAATAAAAATAAACAATAAAGTTAAGTAATTGTACCTAGAGCACCTTCTGCTGTTAAAAAAACTAGCCTAGAGCGCCGTCTGCTGTTAAAAACTAGCCTAGAGCGACATCTGCTGTTAAAAACTAGCCGTGAGCGCCGTCTGCTGTTAAAAACTAGCCGTGAGCGCCGTCTGCTGTTAAAAACTAGCCTAGAGCGACATCTGCTGTTAAAAACTAGCCGTGAGCGCCGTCTGCTGTTAAAAACTAGCCGTGAGCGCCGTCTGCTGTTAAAAACTAGCCTAGAGCGCCGTCTGCTGTTAAAAACTAGCCGTGAGCGCCGTCTGCTGTTAAAAACTAGCCGTGAGCGCTGTCTGCTGTTAAAACCTAGCCTAGAGTGCCATCTGCTGTTAAAAACTAGCCTAGAGTGCCGTCTGCTGTTAAAAACTAGCCTAGAGTGCCGTCTGCTTTTAAAAACTAGCCTAGAGTGCCATCTAGTGTTAAAAACTAGCCTAGAGCACCATCTGCTGTTAAAAACTAGCCTAGAGTGCCATCTAGTGTTAAAACCTAGCCTGGAGCACCATCTGCTGTTAAAAACTAGCTGTGAGCACCATCTGCTGTTAAAGACTAGCCTAGAGCACCATCTGCTGTTAAAAACTAGCCTAGAGCGCCATCTGCTGTTAAAGACTAGCCTAGAGCGCCATCTGCTGTTAAAAACTAGCCTAGAGCGCCATCTGCTGTTAAAGACTAGCCTAGAGCGCCATCTGCTGTTAAAGACTAGCCTAGAGCACCATCTGCTGTTAAAAACTAGCCTAGAGTGCCATCTAGTGTTAAAACCTAGCCTGGAGCACCATCTGCTGTTAAAAACTAGCTGTGAGCACCATCTGCTGTTAAAGACTAGCCTAGAGCACCATCTGCTGTTAAAAACTAGCCTAGAGCGCCATCTGCTGTTAAAGACTAGCCTAGAGCGCCATCTGCTGTTAAAAACTAGCCTAGAGCGCCATCTGCTGTTAAAGACTAGCCTAGAGCGCCATCTGCTGTTAAAGACTAGCCTAGAACGCCATCTGCTGTTAAAGACTAGCCTAGAGCACCATCTGCTGTTAAAAACTAGCCTAGAGCGCCATCTGCTGTTAAAGACTAGCCTAGAGCGCCATCTGCTGTTAAAAACTAGCCTAGAGCGCCATCTGCTGTTAAAGACTAGCCTAGAGCGCCATCTGCTGTTAAAGACTAGCCTCAGTATCGTGCAAAGATGTTCCAAGGAGGGAAGACAATAACGAAATGAAGACCAGGTGGGCGGGGCTGGGGGTGTGGGAATGGGGTGGGGTGTCAGCGGCTGATGGTTGAATAGATGATCGCTCGCGAGTTGGGTAATGCTGACAATCATGAACTGAAGAGCCGGGGGTGGGCAAAATTGGATGTTGACAAGGGGGCACTTTAGTACATTTTTGAAGGGCACTTCTCCAAGAGGAAGAAAAAAGGGCATGTGCACTACACAGGTTGAGCTCTATCTGTGCACGTGCCTGACTAGCCGAGAGCTTCATCTGCTGTTACAAACTAGCATAGAGCGACATCTGCTGTTAAAAACTATGTTCAGAATCGATTCAAGAGAATATAGAGATGCATTCTGAAAATATCCAAATGGATGCAATAACACATTAATAACACATAAAACAACATAAATTATCATGTTTTTGATTTATTATACTGTTCATGAGGTCATTCAATCACCCTGTCATTATCACAACAATAAATAAATGAATAAATAAAGCCCCTGATAGAGTGATCAAGACAACTGAAGTCAAGTGGAGCACTCTTGAATCTTTAAGGGCTTATTTTGCATTAATGACCAGCCGACTGCACATTATTCCTCCATAAATAAATATAAATTAATATCAGGCATTATAAAAGATTCATAACGCATTAGTAATACCTTTAAGGTCACTTAATATAAAGTGGGATCCAAAAAGTCTTAAATCAAGAAGCATTTTCTAGACAAATAAAAATACTCGTCTAGAAAATGCTTGTTGATTAAAGAGTTTTTGCTGTACCTGCAGCAGAAGCAGCTGAGCCGGTCTCTCAGGAGCAGAGCTGATGTAATCCAGAGGTTTGAGTCGAGCGGCTCCGTGGCCAAAGCTCAGCGTGGGCTGCAGCAAACGCACCACAGACTGATAATCTCCTGCGTCAAACAGCTTCTGGATCTCCTCTAGAGACTGACAGCGCTCCAGAGACTTCAGCTTCTTTTCAATCTAAACAAGAAGAAATAGTTAATAATTGTATACACATAAAGGTCACATTCTGAAAATAATAATGGATGCTTGTTCTTTTAAAGTGTCCCAGCAATGATACATTAAAGGGGACCTATTATGTACAAGATGTAAAATAAAGCTGCGTCCCAAATGGCACACTATACACTATGCACTCATGCACTATGTACTTATGCACTTACACACTCAACAGGGTAGTATATGTATGTAGTGTCGTCCCAAATGGCACACTAATGTTTTTTTTACTAAGCGGAAATTCAAACCGTTTCCCTGATGACGTTTGACGGTTGCCAAATCATTGAAGTAAACAACCGAATTATCAAATAATACCTGCCGTGAGTGTTGCCGCATTCACCATCGGGAGGCGCTATAATCACTCTCGTAGAAGAATTTTGCTTTCACCATCCAAAATAAATTAAGTTATTCAACATGTGCGTCCGATAGCTCCGCCCCTTCCGCTACGTAAGCAAACCTGCGGTCGTTGAGTGCGTGAAGTGTCCATCATTACACACTTCATTTTACCGGCTGAATGAGTGCATCATCCGGGTAATTAAAGTGCACTTATTACTTTTAGAGTTTTCAGTGTAAACGCACTACTTACACTATTTATACTACAAAATGGCGTAGAATAGTGCATAAGTATGCGATTTCGGACGCAAGTCTCTGATGTCCTCTAGTGTCCACTAAAATACCACACAAATATTCAAATCAATTCACCTTTATTTCTAAAGCGCTTTTACAATGTAGACTGTGTCAAAGCAGCTTCAAAAAGAAGATAATGGTGATTTAAAACACTGTCAGTTCAGTTTTAGAGTTAAAGTTCAGTTCAGTGTGGTTTAATATTCACGACTGAGAGTCCAAACACTGAAGAGTGATCCATCAATGCGCAGCTCTACAACTCACAACCTATGCAAGCCAGTGGCGACAGCGGCGAGGAAAAACAAAACTTCCCCAATTGGCGAAAGTGAAGGATAAAAACCTCGAGAGAGCATTACGGTAATCCAGCCTAGAGCTCATAAAAGCATGGACTAGCTTTTCTGCATCGGAGATGGATAGCATACTTCGTAACTTAGCGATATTTTATAGTAGAGCTAGTGCTAACTTTGTTTCCATCTAATTGCAGGTCGAGTTGTGAGATCTGCTGTGTTCAGGATTTAGGCCCAATAAGTAATAATTCTGTTTTGTTGGGAAGGAGAAGGAAATTGTTGGTCATCCAGTCTTTAACATCTTTAATACACTCAGTTAGCTTAGACACTTTAGATGTATCACCAGGTTAAGTTTTAAAATTCTGCATCATCTGTATAGTAGGGGTGTCAAAATTAATTGTTTCTTCGGTGCACCGCGATGCAGATGCAGACAATTCGGTATTGGTTCAGTAATAATCATAACCGGTTATTACTGACGTCATTTACCTCATATGCACTCTGTAGCGAGGGAGGCGAGTGCGAGTATTTACAACGCTTCAACTACTTAAAACTCATAAACTGTGCACAATTTCACTGTGTGTGTTTGCTGGATCAGTCTTTAACAGCAAAAGCCCCTATTTCACTGAGATCGAGAGAATGAAAGTATTCCATTTCTCTCCCTCTCTCACACACACACACACACACACACAGTGGCCCATTTGACCTGCTGGCGTGGCTTTTCTTCTCCTCTCAGATGTTTTACAGCGTTACTTCTAGATTCAGACACGAGCGCGTGTCTGCAGAGTTTTCTCCACAGTGTCTATCATGGATCAGCTCTGATCGCCGCTGCCGCCTGCCGCTTATCAGTATCACTCATCTGTGAAGAGCGCAGCGCGCAAGAGCCAATAGCAACCGTTTTTGTTGAGATGGTGACCAATCAAAGAGGTGTAAGAGAACTAGACAAGGATCAGAAAGTGAGCTGGATATTTATATTTGTTTATATTAATTGCTATAAATGCTTGTGTTGTTTAAAGGTACAGTTTATATTTGACTGTTTGTAATTATTATTATAAGACTGTTTGTATTAAATGACAAAATTTGTATTACAAATAGTATATAAATATCAATATATTCATACATTTTAATACAAGAAATGCTGCTGTGAAGAAAATATAAAACTGTATGAAAAGCATCGTCAATGCACCATGATGCACCGAAATATCAAATTGAACCGAATCAATGGCATGATGATCGTAACCGAACCGAACCGTGAGACTAGTGTAGGTTCACAGCTCTACTGCATAGCAGTGAAAGCTGATCCCATGTCATGATCCATGTCGCAACTGGCTTGCTTGGTTTGGGACTTGTGGAGCTGCGCATCGATGGATTTTGCTCTTCAGCGTTTGGACTTTCAGCAGTGAAAATTAAACCACACTGAACTGAACTAAACCTCAACTCTGAATACTGGACTGATACAGTTTTAACTTACTAGAACTTCTATGTTAATCTACACAGTAAAAGCGCCTCCATAGTATTAGCTTTTTCCTACTATGGAAGTCAATGGTTACAGGATTCTGACAGATTTGAACAGAGCAATAAACGCATAAAGGTGTGGAACCACCTGATGGTGAGTAAATTTGGGTGAACTGTCCCTTTAATAGCAGATTATGTAGTTGTGTAAGAGTGTGTGTTATACCTCCTCAATAGAGATGCTATTGTCCACGCTGAGATTGGGAAGATGGATGGCGATTTTGTCGTTTTCACTTGTCTGTCCCTTCAGTAGACCGACACACATGTCATAACACTCCAGCGCCTCCTCCATGTCCCCCTAAAACAGCACATTAGCACACACATGCTAGAGTAAAAAAATACAATCATTATTTTTCATATCTATAATTAATAAAGACAATCAAATGTGTCTATTATAAGGATTTATTTTACACTTGAGTAGTTTTGGATTTTGGTTAAGTTATTGATTCGTGAGATGCTGTGGCCTGCACATGTGACATGAATACAAACCAGCAACACGTTTTGCTGGAGTCAATAAGCTTTGAATGTTTTTAAATTGCCTAAAATAATTAATACTTTTGTCTTTTATGGTACAATAGTTTTTTTTTATTGAATAATCTTTGATGTTGGCTTGAGAAAGCCTTGCCAGAAGGTTTTAAAAGTCTTTGTATGCTATAACCTTAACCTAAAATGCTTAATAGATAACATTTTGTAATGAGTTTCTAACATGGCTAACACATTCTTAGCATGAATTAACATGATGCTAATACGTAGTTGCTAACATGTTTCTAGCTCATTTTAGCATCAATTACCATGCTACTATCATGTTTTAAAATATTTATATTTAAAAATATTTTTACACATTGCAGCATGTTGATAGCAGGGTTCTTATTGTTGACATGTTTCTAGTAAATTTAATACATGGTAAACTTTTTACATGTTATGTTAGCGTAATTAAAGTTTCTATCATGGCACAAAAGGTTTTGCTGTTGCTAGCATGTTTTAACATAGATCAAGATGTGTGCTAGCACAAAATACCATGTTATTATCATGTTTAAAAATATTTAAATGTTTTAACAAATGTGTAACATGTTTTAGCATGTTACTACCATGCTTCTCATTGTTGACATGTTTTTAGCACATTTTAATACATGGCTAACATTTATAACATGTTACATGAGTTAGCATCTAGGTTTAGCATGATTTAGGTTTAAAAACTCTTTGTAACCATAACTTAGGATGCTTAGTACATAACATTAACATTTTATAATGAGTTTCTAACATGGCTAACAAGTTATTAGCATGTATTAACATTATGCTGCACATTGTAGCATAAACTACCTTGTTACTATCATGTTTTGAAACATTACAAGTTCGTAACATGTTTTAGCATGGTTCTCATTGCTGACATGTTTCTAGCACATTTTAATACATGGCTAGCTTTATTACATGTTACTTGATTTAGCATGTAAAACATGTTATTAAAATGCATTAATTTGTTGTTGCCATGGTTTAACTTGTTTAATGTTCATATTTTAACATTTTGTTAGCATCAACTGGCACATTGCTAACATGTTTCTAGTGTGATTAATGCATTGTTAACATGACTGTGGCTAGCATGTTTCTAACATGTTTTATCATGTTGCTAACATGCCTAAAACCCTTTTAATACTTTATGTAATTAACAATTCTAGCATGGCACAAAGTTTTGCTGTTGCTAGCATGTTTTAACAAATCAAGATGTTTGCTAGCACAAATCACCAAGTTACTATCATGCTTAAAAATATTAAAATATTTTAACAAATTTGCAACATGTTTTAGCATGTTGCTAGCACAGTTCTCATTGTTGACATGTTTTAGCACATTTAAATACATGGCTAACATTTTTACATGCTGCAAACAAATTTACCATTCCTAGCATGTTAACCTTGTTGTTAACATGAATTAATGTGTTGTTGTCATGTTTTAACATTTTTATAGCATCAACTGGCATATTGCTAAAATGTTTCCAGCATGATTAACAAATTGTTAACTTGACTTACCATGCCGCTAGCATGCTAACATTTATCACGATGCTAACATGCCTAAAGACTTTTTAACAATTTTGTTAACGTAAATAAAAGTTGCTAGAATGGCACAAACAAAACATGCTAGCAACAGCTAAACTTGATAGCCATGCATGGCTATCGAGTTTAGCTGTTGCTAGCATGTTTTTAAAATTTAACATGTTACTATCAAATCACGATGTTTGCTAGCATAAATTACCATGTTACTTTCACATTTTAAAACACTAAATGCTAAGTTTGTGACATGTTTTAGATTGTAACATGTTTTAACTGCAGTGTTAGTGTAGTGTACTGTGAGATTTGTGTTTATTAGTCACGGTGAATTAATGAAAGCAGTTAATCTTATGTTTATTCAGCAAACCGCTATTTTTCCCAGGAGATTTTCTGGGTTTCTTCATGTGTATTTAAACTGATTTGTCGGTTTCCGTAGAGCGCCCTCTGGCTTTTAGAGCAGATTTACTATAAAACACATCATGCTTTGTTTAACATGCTTTTATAAATCACACAGCCCTATTTCACACCATGCTTTCACTATGGCCGGAGGGAGAGTAAAACCAGTACACTGAACACTACTGGGATTTTTTGTTCAGCAGGAAAAACGAATAATCTGTGCATTGCTAAGAACCGTATAAATTATCCGTCATAAAAATCTGTCAGTGTGTCTGATAACTGAACGGGTTCGTCTTGCCTGAAAGGCGAGGTGTCGTGCTTTAAGCCAGTGAACTCTGATGGCAAACGAGAGCCAGTGGTCTTCAAACAGGTCTCTCTGAGAGGAAGCCATGGTCAGCAGGAATAAATCTGCCTGAAAGCGCGTCTCTGGACTGTCCAAATCCCCACAATCCCTTCCTGATGCAGACATGGTTTTTCTCTGAGATGCTGGAATTCACATGAGCACAGACGTTTGTGTGATGAGGGCTCGTGGTTTGTAATATCAGCATATATGAGTGTCTGCGTGATGCTCTTACCGTTCTTGCCCTTCATCATAGATTTTTGCTCCAGCTGCAGCTCCAGACAGCCCAGACTCATCAGCATCATTTCCTGTGACGCAGTATGACACATTACAGCTGACTCAACAACAAAACTGTGGACTGCGAACATCTATTATGTGCATTTTACAAGATGATCCAAATGGCAAGAGTGGATCGCTTCACAATAGATGCGAAATCACTCTAGTTTCATGGCAAAATGGATTTTGTTGTGAGGGTAGCTGTTAGGGGTGTCAAAATAAATTTTCTTCGATGCACTGCGGACAATTCGGTATTGGCTCAGTAATAGACTATAATCGGTTATTATGTACTGATGTCATTTATCTCATTTGCGTTTTTGTTGCGGTAGAATACTATGGCAAAGGAGGCAAGGACGAGTAAATAAAATGCTCCAACTACTTAAAAACAGACAGCTGTGCACAATTCACTGCTTGTGAGTTTGCTGGACGGTCTTTCACTGACACTGAAGGTACAGCAGAACCCAGGAGCCACTATTTCACTGATAAGAAGAAATAGAAAGCTATACAACTTCATTTCTCTCTCTTACTTCGGACCTCTGAACTGCTGGCATGTTTGTAACTTTTATTCTGCTCTATCGCTATTAAAGCGGTACTTGTAGTTTACTCCACCACATGTGCACGCGCATTCTTCAGTGTTCACAACACTTATATGATATGATTGGCAGTGACAGTGCTCTACAGTGCTCAAAAAGCATGCAGGATAATATTTACATTAGTTTATTTTTTATAATTGCTCATGTTGTTCTGTGCGAGTACTTTTAAAATTAAGGTACGGTTCATTTATCTGACTGCTTGTATTAAAGCACAAAATTGTATTATAAATTATACATAAATATAAATATATCCATTTTATACATTTTAATTCAAGAATTTGTTGTGAATTTTTTATTTTATTTTATATATATATATATATATATATATATATAAATTATATTTATTTTGAATTATATTTTTGCTTTTTTTAAATATTTCATAAATGATGTTTAACAGAGCAAGAGCATTTTCACAGTATGTTCTTATTTGTTTTATTTAGGATAGAATAAAAGCAGTTTTTAACTTTTTAAAAGGCATTATAAGGTTAAAATTTAAGCTATATTTATATTATATTTTATTATACAAAAAAAATCATTGTTTTACAATGACTTGCCTAATTACCCTAACCTGCCCAGTTAACCTAATTAAGCCATTAAATGTCACTGAATGTCACAAATGATGTTCAACAGATTCAGGAAATGTTCACATTATGTCTGATATTTTTTCTCCTGGAGAAAGTCTTATTTGTTTTATTTCGGCTAGAATAAAAGAAGTTTCAAATTTTTTAAACACCAGTTTAAGGACAATATTATTAGCCCCTTTAAGCTATATTTTTTTTTCAATTGTCAAAGAACAAAACCATCGTTATAAAAAATTTATGAACCTAATTAACCTAGTTAAGCCTTTAAATGTCACTTTAAGCTGTATAGAAGTATCTTGAAAAACATCTAGTCAAATATTATTTACTGTCATCATGACAAAGATATAACAAATCAGTCATTAGAAATGAGTTATTAAAACTATTATGATTAGAAATGTGCTGACAGAATCTTCTCTCCGCTAAACAGAAATTGGGGGGGGGGGTGGTTTGGGGGTTGAAATAGGGGGCTAATAATTCAGGGGGGCTAATAACTCTGACTTCAACTGTATATAATTGTGGATGAAAAGCGTTGTCAATGTGATGTGATGCACCGAGATACTGAATAGAACCGAATTGATGACATGATAATCGTAACCGAACTAAATCGTGAGACCAATGTAGGTTTACACCCCTAGTAGCTGTGCTTTATGTGCTATAGGTGACGTGAACTTGTTTTGCATGGTTTCTGAGTCTTTCAGTTTATTCAGAGTTTCACCAACTCCTCCAGGAGCTGTTCGTTAATGCAGCGCAAATTTTCACCGAAGTGCAGATTTTTAACCTTGATGGATTCGTTTGAATCACTCATTATGTACATTTATGGCCCGTTTCCACTGAGTGGTACAGTACGGTACGGTTCGGTTTGGTATGCTTTTATGGCCGTTTTCACTGTTAAAAGGCGTACCGAACCAAACCGTACCGTACCACTTTTTCAGCACCCTTTCGAAAGGGTCCCAAACATAAAAAAGGGTACCAAAAGGCGGAGCTAGACGTGCAGCTGAACGCTATTGGTTTACAGAGATACATCATTCGCTTACGCAACAAGCCAGAATGTAAACAAAGGACCCGCCATGTTTGAAATACACAACGAGAGATTACTTGCGCTCGCTGCATGTCTATATCTGAAATAACTAACTTCTTGAACTGATAATAATAACGTGCGCTTGATTATTGACGTGCTTTGGAAACCCGATCCTGTGAGAAGCTGACAAACGCGAGTGACACATTCAGAAAGAAAAGGACAAACGCGAGAGTGGAGCGCGGAAAAAATGGAAAGCCAAGGAGCACGTTATTTCTGCAGCAAACGTGAACAGACTGCCTTGTTTTAATTTAAATCATCACCTTTTGGATTAATATGAACTGGGAATGATGGAATGACTTCAGCTACACGTGCTGCTGAAGATTACAGACACAGATGAGAGGTTTGCACTGACTGTAGGCTATACTTTGTGTTGTTTTAAACCTAATTAAGGACGAAATGTCTGCTGTGTGTAGTTTTTCTGTAGTTGGTAACTTATCGGGGACTGTAAGGGGCTGTATGTGTTCATATATGTTCATTTATTTAACAATTACAGACGTTACAGTAGGCTATTTCGCACTGTCATTGATCTGCAGTTATAATCAACTCATGTTCATAGAAAAGTTAGTAATAAACATTTATACACAAGTGTTCATGTGTGTAAAGCATCTGTTTTGTAAGAAGTGCTTTTCATATGATATGCGAGCGACCTGTGCAGCTTTACTGTAGACATTTCCTCGAGCGAGAATGATGCGACTGAAACTTTGTCTTACACCGCGCTCACCAAAAGGGTACCCTTGCTAGTGGAAACGCAAGCCTGATAAAGGTGACCCGTACCGACCCGAACCGTACCGTACCATACCAGTCAGTGGAAACGACCCATAAAAAGTACATTATTAAGTATTTTAGAGCAGCAAACATGTCAGGCTGAATAATGAAAATAAATCATTGATTTCTGCTGTCTTCATTAGTTTTAAAAACACTGATTTCTTTACAACTTGAACAGGCATCTTTGGATATCTTTCTTTTCTGTGATTATAAAGTAAAGTCAGTGCACTGTTTAGGTCTATAGCATGTTTGGTTCATAAGCAATTTGTTTTTCAGGTGTTTGCTAAATCGTGGGCTGACCAGTAGCAGGGCTCGAAATTGCGAACATTTTGGTCGCATATGCGCACGAAAATTAATCTATGCGACCTCATAATATATTTGGGCGCATTAGTGTGACTGCAGATAATGGTTGTAGTGCGACCTGTTTTGATTTTTGTAAAAACGTGCTGAATCGCTCTTTCCTGCCGCTATATTGGTTCATATTAGCTGTCAATCACTCAAGGTATTCCGCTGTTAGATGACAGGGAAGGAGCTTTTATGACCACGGGAAATACAAACGGCTGAAGAGTGAAAACTTAAAGCACACAGGTTTGCAAACCCCACCTAAAGTTGAGGCGCAGATGAAAGCGATCATGACACGTCACGTGGTGAATAATGATCTGCCAGCTGAGATCAATTGAGTACGCGCTTCATGGAGAAGGTGCCCGAATCTCCATGCGTCGCATTCACTGCGTGTTCAGCGCAAATGTCCGCTAAAAGTCAAATCTAATACTGTACATATCATCGCCAAAGAAGCTTGCCTTTACTAAGTTTACACTGAAACTGCGTTTCATAACAAACAACGGTATTGCGCCGGTGGTCAGCGCAAGAATCCTGCTCTGCCTGCTCATAAATTGGGTCGGCTGACTCGCCTGCTTTCCACTATCACAGAAAAATGAAGATCAGCTCAGACTGAACCTTTAAATTGACACAAACTGAAACCAAAACTTTTAAAGAGTCATAGAAGTGAGACTTTACTTACTTTCTTTTGTCTATTCTTGTTTGAGGTGTATATTATTTTTTAAATTTATTTACTGATGACTGCTTTGCAGCTTTCATCATTGAATTGAATGATTTATTATAATCTTTTGTTTGTTTTGTAGCAGAAATATTATTTATTAAATTGACATGCATATATAAACAGCAGCACAAAATAAATATTTCTTACTGCAATGCTTCATTTTTGTTTGATGCAAACTATACAAATATTTTTCATAAAGTAACAGACTTTTTATAGCAGATAACCTACATTCATGCACATTCAAGGCAGCATCATAATGAGAAATGGAATTCATTGTTACTATTATTGTCATTTTCATCATCATTAATATTCTATAGTCTAATTATTAGACATTCATTTTGGAATTATTGCACACAAATATCAATGTCTTCACAGCATTAGTTAGATAGTTGTTTCTGGTTTTTGTCAGTCCTATTGATGTTGTTTTAAAATACAATAAATCCCTTAAAAAGCAATTTGCAGCGGTGCTCAATCATTTTTGGTGGGTGCTCCTAAATTTTTTCTGGTGCTCCTAAATTTATTTTGGTGCTCCTAAATATTTGAAGTTGGGAGCACCGGTGCTACCAAGTAAAAAAGTTAATTTTGAGCCCTGTGTAGCTTTTGAAGTTTACTGTTGCCCTAAAAAACAAAACAAAATAGCTATAAAAAACATGTAAAAAAAACGTAGGAACTAGTTTTTAAAACCTTGACTTTTCCCACCCACAATAAACCTTGAAACCAACTATTGAACGCTGCATTCAAATGTCAAGCGCAGGTTCTGTTCGGCTCACCTTGATGTGTTTGTTGCTGGAGTCTCTGAGCAGCGGGTTGGGCAGTCCAGCGCTGTGTTTCCTCCAGCAGTTGAACAGATCCAGCACCACTCCAGAAAGACCCGCAGGCCATTCCTCCAGAAACTTCTGCCCCACCGCCTTCAGATAGTATATCATCAGCTCCAGGATCCCGCCGTTCTGCATATTGGCCATCAGGAAGGCATGCACTTCACTGCGCTCTAAGGAACCGACGGAAAAAAATCAGAAGGAGGGCAGAAAGAAGTGAAGCAGTGAACAAATCAGGGTTCCCACACTTTGATGAACAGCAGATTCAAGGTCTTTTAAAAGCACCATTAATTGTATGTAGTACCATGAATGTCCTTACACCGTATTTAACATTTCACTTACACTTAATATTTACAACTGTCAGAGCTATTTGTAAAAATGTTCAAGCTAATTTAAGAACTTGTTGAATTTGACACTGGTAATATTCAAATGCGGTTTCTGCAGTGCTGAAAAAATGTGCATTATTTGTCAGTGTTATTGCACAAGATTTAAAGTTAGGATTTTTAATTTAAGAAGTTACCCAACACTAGTTATCCACAACTATAAGGTTTAATACTACCTAAATAGACCACGGTTTAATGTAGTAAACACTAGAGTATTATTTTGTACCATTACTATGTATTTTAACAGTTTGGCTAATAGTTAATACAACAGTTTACTGCATGGTCATTAGCAAAATGTTATAAATACTATGATATTTAGAGTGTCATACAAAATGTTGCTGAAAAAATTTGCTACGGAGATTCCCAGCTCTGGGTTGCAGCTGGAAGGGCATCTGCTGCGTAAAACATATACTGGAAAAGTTCATTCCGCTGTGGAGACTCCTGGTGAATAAAGGGATTAAGCCAAAGGAAAATGAATGAATGAATGAATAGTTTAAGGAGCTGTAAGTTTTTTCATTCTGTTTTTGATCATGCATTTATTTCAAGCACTTTCGAAGACGTGTTTGTTTTTAAGTACTTTCCAGGCCTTGATTGCATATGTCTGAAATTTAAGTACTTTCAAGAACCCTGTGAAAGCCTCGGTTTCTGTACCTGACTCCATAGAGACAATGTAATTGGAGGAGTTGGATCCATGGTTCAACTGGGAATCGGGTTTGATGCCACATTGAGAATCCATGTTACTGAGACTTTCTTCATCTTCATCATCTTCAAACTTTTTTAATCTGAAAATGAAAATAATTATGTCAACAAGAGCTTCTGGTACAGGAGGTCTTACTATGCTTTTTACACTTTCAATTTCCCTCAAAAAGGCTGTTACTCATGGAGCCAGATTAGTCTAAAAAAATACATTTACAATTCACAATTAAAAAAGTCATTTTAAATTCAAAACACAATTAGTAAATGCGCAAATCCAATTCGTAAATTCAAAACAATTCGTAAATGCGCAAATCTGATTCGTAAATACAAAACATAATTCATAAATGCGTAAATCCAATTCGTAATTTCAAAACACAAAACGTAAACTCCCAAATCCAATTTGTAAATGACCTAATCCAATTCGTAAATGCAAAATACAATTTGTAAATGCGCAAATACAATTCGTAAATACAAAACACAATTCATAAATGCGCAAATCCAATTCATAAATTTAAAACACAATACGTAAACTCCCAAATCCAATTTGTAAATAACCTAATCCAATTCGTAAATACAATACACAATTCATAAATGTGTAAATCCAACTCGAAATTCAAAACACAATTCATAAATGCGCAAATCCAATTCGTAAATACCTAATACAATTTGTAAATACAAAACACAATCCGGAAGTGCTCAAATCCAATTCGTAAATTTAAAACACAATTCTTAAACGCCCAAATTCAATTCGTAAATTCAAAACAATTCGTAAATGCGCAAATCTGATTCGTAAATACAAAACACAATTCATAAATGCGTAAATCCAATTCGTAATTTCAAAACACAATACGTAAACTCCCAAATCCAATTTGTAAATTACCTAATCCAATTCGTAAATTCAAAACACAATTTGTAAATGCGCAAATCCAATTCGTAAATTTAAAACACAATGCGTAAACGCCTAAATCCAATTTGTAAACGCCCAAATCCAATTTGTAAACGCCCAAATCCAATTTGTAAATGCCCTAATCCAATTTGTAAATACAAAACACAATTCGGAAGTGCGCAAATCCAATACGTAAATTTAAAACACAATTCTTAAACACCCAAATTCAATTTGTAAATTCAAAACACAATTCATAAATGCACAAATCAAATTCGTAAATTCAAAACACAATTCATAAATACGCAAATCCAATTTGTAAATTCAAAACACAATTCATAAAACGCCCAAATCCATTTCGTAAATACAAAACAGAATTCAGAAATGCGCAAGTCCAATTCATAAATACAAAACACAATTCATAAACGGCCAAAAAAAAAACTTTAAAAACACACAAAATGATAAATATTCACTCTTTTTTGGTTAAACTTTGCAATGACAATGTGATCTGAAATGTGTATATAATAATCCTGACTGTGTTTTTTCCATTTTGTGGATATATTTCCCATACTTTTTGTATGCTAAATATGGATGGTCATTGCTAAAACACACACTTTCTGGAGCACAATTTGGTGTAATGAGTTTTCACAGTGGGTGGATTCACTCACTGAGACAAAACAAAAATAGAAACCATGTGACCGACATCAACATCTACTGTATTGCTTGACACAGACACAGCAGGTTGGAACAAAAACCCCAGATTAGATGAATAATTCCCACCTGGAGGGCAGGAATTTGAGCAGGAGCTCCTGGAAGTCGATCTTCTCTTCTTTCTTGCATTTGGTGTTGCGAACGCGTGCCGAGCGTCTCTTCGCCGTCTCTACGGTGTCCTCGATCACACGCTTCCTCTTGGTGCCTTTTTTCACTTTATCATCCAGAGCTGTGGAAGAAACAACAGTGAGATCATAACGTTAATACCTGACTTATATAAGCAGAGGGAAAAAAGTGAGGGTGTGTATTCACAACAAACAAATGCATGAGGTGGTGACTGAGTGTGGAATCATGGGAGTTGTGATCTTCCACACTACACCAATAGGTAGACTTTAAACCATTTTTAGGAAATTTAATACTAGCGTTAAATTTGCTTACCACTATGTGTGGACTTGACCAGTGTTTCCCAACCCTGTTCCTGGAGGCACACCGTCAGTACATATTTTGGAGGTCTCCCTTATCTAACCCACTAATTTTAGGTTTTGGAGTCTCTTCTTATGTCCTGATGAGTTGGTTTAGGTGTGAAACACTGCACTAGACATATGTCGATATTCGAGTGTTTATTGTGATAATGAACATGCCAGTATTGATATTGTGGACACTTCTAAATACAGAGGTGGCCTGTTGCTTGAGAATTTGTATCCGCCATCGTCTGTTTGCACGCATAGTGTAAGAAATTAACTAGTGTCGTCATGTTACTGAAATTTGGAACCAATCGATACTGAAATATTAAAAATATCTAATTCCTGCTAACATTTGTGCTGTTGAGCGTGTTCTTAAACAGCGCTGATTAGCCATTGTGTTTAGGTGCTCAACAGAAATGACTGGGATTGGCCGTGAAGGTCATCAGTTAACCGAACTCAGCACTGTTGACTGAGTGCAACCACAGATACAGGGACTCTGGAGCGTTTTACACCCCATTCACACGAGGGGAATTGCATTGTGGATCCGTCGGCACCGCTTCAGAGGCGTTGCTTGCTGCGGAAGTTGGGACTAGCTCAATTTTTCAAGCGCCGGCGGAAGCGTCAGCCAATCAGATCGCAGTATGTAAATACACCTGCTAGACAGTGGCTATTGCCGACTGAATTTCATTTGCTGACGCTGCGATGACGATCGCTTTAGCCCCAACTTCAGACACGCCTTCAGTCAAGCATTGACGCTGAAGCCCAGTGTGAATGGGGCGTTAAAGCCGTGATTCATCAGTGGATCGCTTGTATGTCAGCTTGTAGACAAACCAGCTGATCACTGGGACTCTGAAACACTCCAGTGAGAGTACCAAATTACAGTATCGTACAACTCTAAAATGAACTTGTCGCAAAATAAAATAACGAAAAGCCCAGAATCACATATAGTGCCATGACGAACACGAACTGCTTTAGCGTGAAATGCCAGAGGAAACTATTATTGAATGCTGACGTAACCATTGACTGACCTGCAGAGTTCCCAGCAGTGTCCTCAACAGCAGACGCAGCAGTGGTGGTTACTGTGGTTGTGGTTGTGATCTCGATCACGTTCTGGTTCAGCGGGACTCCTCCAGCAACAGTGATGGCTTGGAGCAGCAGCTCAGGGCACGGGGGCAGACTGGCGCTCGGGCTGCTGGGGGCTGGAGGAAGGACGACCGGCGCTGGAGGGTCAGAGATTGGCACAGTGGGCTGAGGAGGGTCAGACGGAGCAGCAGCAGCAGCGGGCACTGGAGCACTGATGGGCATCTGCAGAAGGCAGTCTGGGTCACGGTACATGGACAAATCAATCCGACGGCCAAAGTCAGGCCGAGGCACCAGACAAGCGTTCTGGTGTTTGTACATGGCCAGGAAACTCTCTCCCACACTCTTCCACCTATACAAAGACCAAGATTAGCATTCACTATTTAAGGGCACAGGAACACTTTGACAAATAGAGGTGCTCCAATCAAGATTTTTGAGGCCGATCATCGATCGCTTAAAGGCATATCAGCCGATGCCGATCAACAATTAAAGGGTCTAATTGAAGCCTTTTATTAATCATGTTTTTATAAATGTATATTACAAATATTATATGACAACTGAATTAGAATAAGGCTGTAGCTAAAATGTCCTTTATACTTTTAATTAATAAGAAAGAAATGATTACAATTGTTATTATTACAATTACATATATTTAATAGAAAACATAAGGGTAGGCTACAGCTGCACCTCTTTCGAAGATATATGTATCACAGAAATAATATTAAAGATGTTGTTGTTAATATTATTACTAGTAGTAATAGTAGTCTACTACTACACTGTAGTTCGTACTGTTCAATTCAGCTCGACGATTTGCACATACAAAACTATCTGTGCAAAACTATTAGTGTAAACAGGGCCTGAAGCAGCTAATATTAAAGGTGCAGTAGGTGATCTGCCAAAAAGCTAACCGCTTAGCATATTATCTTTGGATGGCGGGGAGGGACTGTGATTCAAAGCCACACCTCCTAAAATCGCGAGCGCGCGCACCGCGTCACAACAGCCAACAGACAACCCACTAGTTCATGTCATTCGCCAGTTAGTTAGTGCCAGCGCCGTGCAGGAATTACATGAAATACTTTGCCACACTTACATGTTATTTCAGAGCGAATATTCAGAGTAGCGGTAAACAGTATAGGAAGGCTGTCATTGTTCAAAAATGACCCAATGTGAATATAAAAGCAACTTCAGCTCAGTAAAGCAGGCTAGGTGAAATAGCGCTATTTACTGGTGTTTTGTTGTTAAACTAAATATAAATCTACATTATAGATGCTGTCAAAGAACCTTATGAAACTGAAAATAATAAAAAAAAATACATATAAACACATTTAGATCATTTACTGTAATCATTAATATTGGACTGTGAAGAGACTTTCAACCAGCACAACAACAAATGTTTCTGAAGACAATCACCTACTGCACCTTTAACTTACAGTGACGAGGTGCAGGTGCTGAATAGCCACTAAAACATTTCAGCTGCTGTCTGGGCCTTCCATGTCTTTCTACATCTCCCTTTCTTCATGTGTTCAATACCTTTTCCATGCGTCGTTTCAGTGTTCCACCCATAACTTAATTTCTAAAATAATTAGTTTGGATGTCATTGTATGTATGGATTAGTTTAGCTGTTACTGACATCTGTTGAAAATGTCAAGTTAACAGCACCTTTAGAAATATGAGATTAATAATGAGAATGTTCAATACATGGTTCTTACGCCTGTACTAAAGTCAATTTCAAGCACTTTCCGGGTGCATTTGTAAACTTTACCAGCGTGGCAAATTACTAATTTACCTACACATACATACTTCACTACCTTATATCAGATGCTATTTGTTAAAGTATAATATATATGACACCTAAGATAGAAGTAGTTAAGCTTTACATAACAAGATTAAATGAACAAATATAAATTACTTATATTACTGAATATTATATATATATATTAGGGATGGGAAGATTAACCGATATGTATCGATACGCGGTCATGCGCGTGCACGATGCGAGTGCATCGGTTGAGCAGCAGAGGATGAATGAAATTTTGGAAGCAAATCGAGATGCATCGGTTTTTGCGAGATGCATCGATTTTTCCGAGATACAGCTTATATTTTTAATATAGAATGTATTTTTTATTTATTAACAAGTGTTGTCAACCTGTTTTTGGCGCATAATTTAATCGACCTACATAAAGTAAGCCTTAGCAACGGATTTGCGGATGTGTACACTTTCACTACAACTCAGTGTATCAGGTGTGCGGATGAAGCTAGTGGTGCGCCCTCAGAAAGCGCGAGAAGCAAAACAAACATATTCCCCACTGAGTTTTAAATCTAAAGTATGGCAACATTATGGATTTAAGGATGGACGACATGACAGGACAGATGCAATTTGCAAAATGTGCCACGCATCTGTAAAATACGCGGGCAGTACGACTAATCTGATATCTCACTTGAAGCGGCGCCACGGTGTTGTTGTGAAAGCATCTTCCAGTGTTTCTGCATCCCCGGCTTTCGCACTGCTTCAACCAGTTCCAAAAGTGGTGAGAAAAGCATTGCAAGTTTTTTTTTCCATGCGCAACAGTTCTGCTCGCTCTACGCCAATAACGAATGCTATTGCATTGTTCATCTGCAAAGATATTCAGCCTAGTGTCACGGAGAACGAAGGTTTTAAACACCTCCTCCTGTTAATTTTTATTTAATTATAATAATAATAATAATAATAATAATAATAATGATAAAAATAATTGGGTGTCACGGTGGCACAGTGGGTAGTTTGACCACCTCACAGTAAGAAGATTGCTGGTTTGTTATATTTTTATTAGCCTGTTGTTTACAGTGACAGTGATGTTTCAAAGCAGCATAACACTGCTAGTTCACCACCTTAAGTTTTGAATAATCAGTGGCAAAATATCTTTGTAAAACTTGTTTTCATAGTTGAAAAGTTAAATCACAATTCTTGTTGTGCAATGCTAAATTTATTTATGTTGAAAGAGTGCAAATATATACATATTTTTTTAATATATATTGCACTTATACATTCTGTTTATCTTGAAAATACTTAAATAATATGTGCTATAGGTTCTAAAATGGCCCTCTACTGTACACTCTGGCTCTGAGAGAAGAGCCAGTTTGTAAAAAAAAGTCTTGGTTTTGCTTGGTTTATAAATAATCAAACTCATTCAATGGCACAGCATCCTCTTTCACATCATCTCATAAACTTGATCTAATTAGTTAGTGCTGAAATATCGCATCGTATCGTGATATGGGTGTGAATCGTATCGTGTTGCATCGCAATATGTCACAAATGTATCGCTAATATATCGGATCGTATTCTTTGTATCGAGATGCGCATCGGATCGGCATTAAAGCTTAGATGCCCAACCCTAATATATATATATATATAATATATATATAATATATATATAATATTCAGTAATACAAGTAATTATATATATGTATATATATATATATATATATATATATATATATATATACTGAATATATTTATCATATCTTTACAGTAATTTAGACCATATAAATGCAGCCTCTGTCATTTCAGATGTATTTCTTTCAGAACTCTGTGCTAATTTTATGCCATTTTTCTTTTACCTTAAAACAACAACATAAAGTAAGATGAATTCCTATGGCTTGGGCTTACGTGAAGTACTTAATGGGCTGAACCAGTTGCAGATCAGCTACTGGATGGCGTGTGAGTTTGGCCTGTCTCTGTCTCCTGAGCTCCAGCGCCTCCTCTACAATACTGTGAGCTTCCTCCTCATCTACATCCACATACTGCAGTGAGATATCACTAGAAGAGGTAGAAAAACAGACATAAATGAACACTAGATTTGCAGCCAACAGGACAAATATTGGATGCCCAGATGAAGGAGAGTGCAAAAACGAGCATACAGTTTGGAGAACATCTTCATGGAGTCTCGTCTGAGGCAGGGCTGCTCTTGGAAGATCTTCTCTTTCAGCACTCGGCCTTTACTGTAGCCTGAGTCCTTCTCCAGAGCCTTACAGATGTAGTACAGACAACCTGCAGGACACAGAACACAAGGTTTTAAATTAGCTTGAACTTTATTTCTTACAGCTCTATCTGGCGCAAAGCATATATATACATAATACATATACATATATATATATATATTCATTCATTCATTTTCTTGTCGGCTTAGTCCCTTTATTAATCTGGGGTCGCCACAGCGGAATGAACCGCCAACTTATCCAGCAAGTTTTTACACAGCGGATGCCCTTCCAGCCGCAACCCATCTCTGGGAAACATACACATACACTCATTCACACACACACTCATACACTACGGACAATTTAGCCTACCCAATTCACCTGTACCCCATGTCTTTAGACTGTGGGGGAAACCGGAGGAAACCCACGTGAACACAGGGAGAACATACAAACTCCACACAGAAACGCCAACTGAGCTGAGGTTCGAACCTGCGACCCAGCGACCTTCTTGCTGTGAGGCGAACGTGCTACGCACTGCGCTGCCAAATATATATACACACACAAATAACACTACAGAGTAAAATGAATGGTATAGAGAACGAATGTATCAAAAAACATTCAATAAAATAGTAGGGATTGACAGGATTTTAGGCATTTTTGATTTTCAGACGAAAGAAAAAACATAAGGGCAGAAAAATATGAGCCAAAAAAAGACTATGCAACACCATACTGGAAACCAGCATCCACACAAACAACATACGGACAGGACATTTCTATGTTGTATACTTGTTCCTGCTGTTTGCAATAGTGCTACTGTGCTATCATAGCAACGCTGGTATAATGATGCCTTTCTACTCATTCACGGTCAATAAAATGTGGTTAAGTCATTTTTAACATCAGCATAATGTAAGCTATTGAGACACATTCAAAATCAACTTTACAAAATCACCTGATCTTATTTTGTTGCATTCAGAATTTTTGGTTTCATCCCAGTAACTTAATTTCAGCGCATCTTCATTAAAAAGCAAATGCATTTATATTAAAATAATGATACTAAACTATAATTAGATCATTAACATGTTTTAAGCATGTTTAATAATTTTTTATTTCTGACAGGAATAAAATTAGAATAATATTTACTTTACTTTTTTTTACATTTTTAAATCGATTTCAATTGACGTAGACATGGGTTTCGATCAGTGTCCATGTTAATGCAGTAATAAAGTATGTGAATAATGTAGGCCTTCATGATTAATCGTCTTTAAACTGGAAAAGGGTATGCTATCGAAAATTTCGATGCGCTATCAAATATGGTAAATAGTATATTGTTTTTAAAAGTTCTGATAGTTCGAAAGCACATTATCCTGAACAATGAGAAAAATGCAAAACAATCTGAATGTAAAGGTTATATTTATTTTATATATATATATATATATATATATATATATATATATATATATATATATATATATATATATATATATATATATATATATATATACACACACACACACACACGCATACATACAGACATACATACATACATACATATTGTAGGAGCCTATATGTTGACTTGAATGTAATTTGGGCTGTCACCACTTGGGGGCAATATGTGCACATAGGGTTTTAAAGTCGGTGTTTCTTGCATGAGAGAAGAAGACTTGAGGAAGGGAACGCATGCAGTTTTTACCACACCAAACTCACACACCTTTGAGGTCGCTAAAGGGTTCAACATTATTAATTGCAAGTATGTATTTATAATAAGCAAAATAAAGTGAATTTAAACTTGAAGAGGAAGCAAGACTGGACATTGGTTGTGTGCGTAAAAACGTGCGTTGAGATGCCAAGCCTTCGACATTAAGCTGCTGCAACACATATATATATATATACCTATGGGCAGTGTTGGACAGCACCGTCGCTACAAGTAGTGACACTACTAGCTTAACTACATTTCTCAGTAGCGTGGCGGTAGCATTGCTACTATCTTAATCAAATAGCTTTTCAGTAGTGAAGATATTTTATTAGTCAAGTAGCGCAGTAGCGTCCACACAAGCTACATTTACCGATCGCAGATCAATAAGTGGCGGCACAGACATTCACAGAGCTGTGATGCCGGTGTCTAGCTGATGAGAGTAAATACATATTATGGTGAGAATGTCGATTTCTTCTTCGTCTTCTTTTACGGTGTTCGACAACAAAGTTTTTGGTGCGTTACTGCCACCTCTGGTGAAACTTGCTTGATGGAAAGATGACTGAGGAAGAAGAGTTATTTCTAAAGCAGGATTTCCTCGTGACCCTACCTCGAGAAGTACGTTACGATGCAATAACCTAATTTCTGATGCTGTGCTCAAAAAATAAAATCATTTAGTATATATATATGTATGTATATATATGTGTATATATGTATTTATATATATATATATATATATATATATATATATATATGAGCAATATCAGGCGAGTTGCAGTGCAATATAGCTGTATAACGGCACTGGTGGGAGGGAACTATTTGAAATTGAAAATAGTCACATTTATCGGTAGGGGTGAAAACACTAGCTGTGCATATACCTTATTAGATTTTTTCTCCTAATCGTGCAGCCCTAAAAAAAATAGATTATAGATACTCACAGCTGTAGTCACTGAGCGCGTACAGGACTGTGATGAGGCTGTCCAGACACGGCCAGTGCTCCGGGTTACAGTGTAAGCCCACCTCAAACGCATGCCGGGCCAGAGGCATGCTGACCTTCCTCAACGCCAGCTTTCCCATCTTATACCACATGTTGACATCGGTGGAGTCCAGCATGACAGCCTGCAGACAGACAAACAGTGAGCAAACTGAGTGTTCAGCGCATCTTTCTGTTACAGTCGAGGAGTGAACGCTATAATAACATACTGAAATTCATTCATTCATTTTCTACCACTTTTCCGGGGCCGGGTCGCGGAGGCCCAAACTTCCCTCTCCCCAAACACTTCCTCCAATTCTACGGGGGGATCCCAAGGCGTTCCCAGGCAAGCCGAGAGACATAGTCCCTCTAGCGTGTCCTGGGTCTTCCCTGAGGTCTCTTTCCGGTGGGACATACCTGGAACACCGCCCTAGGTAGGCGTCCAGGAGGCATCCGAAACAGATGCTCAACCCACCTCAGATGACTTCTCTCAACGTGGAGGAGCAGCGGCTCAACTCAGAGCTCCTCCCGGGTATCAGAGCTCTTCATCCTATCTATAAGGGTGTGCCCTGCCACCCTGCGAAGGAAACTTATTTCAGCTGTTTGTATCCGAGATCTTGTCCTTTCAGTCATGACTCAAAGCTCATGACCATAGGTGAGAGTAAGAACGGACATTGACTGGGAAGTCAAGAGCTTTGCCTTTCAACTCAGCTCCATCTTTACCAGTACATTGACCACATTACTGCTGCCGCCGCACCAATCCACCTGTCAATCTCATCCTTCCCTCAATCGTAAACAAAGCCCAGAGATACTTGAACTCCTCCACATGGGGTAAGGACTTTCCTCCAAGATGGCAAACCACCTGTTTCTAGTGGAGCACCATGGCCTCGGACTTGGAGGTGCTGGTTCTCATCCTAGCCGCGTCACACTCTGCAACTAACCACCCTAGTGCATGCTGAAGGTCCATGTCTGAAGAAGCCAACAGAACAACATCGTCTGCGAATGACAGAGATTAAAAAATTCTGTAGTCCGAACCAGACCCCCTTCAGCCAAGGCAGAGTCCAACGTGCACTGGAAACAAGTCTGACTTATTGCCGGCAATGCAAACCAGAGTCCTACTCTGTTCATACAGGAACAAGGCGGCCCTTAACAGAGCGCCTCTGACCCAATACTCCCAGAGCACCCTCCATGGAATGCCACAAGGGACACGGTCAAATGCCTTCTCCAAGTCCACAAAACACATGTGGACTGGTTGAGCATACTGAACCCTCGAGCACCCTGGTGAGGTTATAGAGCTGGTCCAGTGTACCACAGCCTGGACGAAAACCGAAATCAAATCGTTTATTTCGCATATTGGGCATCACGGTGGCGCAGTTGGTAGCATGATCGGCTCACTGCGAGAAGGTCACAGCAAGAAGCGAGCAGGTCTTTTATCTATTTCTTACCTGTACATAGAAGTCCATGGCGGTGTCCAGATCATCTTTGAGCACAGCCAGACTGGCTAGGTTTTTATAGGTGGAGTACTTTAACATCAGACCAGGATGCTTGAGTCCAACCTTCTCATCTTCAGATGCTACAGCCTGGTGCATGAAGATGAAAAAAAATTAGCAATCAACAAAATCAAAATCTAACAGAGCAATGTAGTCAAACGACAGGTACTCTGGATGTCCTGCTGATGTTATGATGCTGTACCTCTTTAAGCAGCGGCGTCTTGAGGAGCTCATGATAGGCTTTGGCAGATTCGTCAAACTTGTCGTGTTTCTGCAGATCAAGAGCTTTATGGTACAGAGCAAACGCTTCCGCCTCCTGAAACACAAATGAGAAGAAAACAGTTGATTACATTCAACTCTCTTATTATAAAGCATACCGCATACAAAGTAAGATACTCTGACGAATGTTGGAAATGAACGTGGATACCCATAGTTGGAAAAATAATAATAATCATGACGTCAATGCTATTAGTATATCAGTATATCTTGCTTTGTGTTCAACAGAAGTTATATATCAAGATATTTTAGATTTTCTTTAGCGAGCAGAAGATGTTTTAGGATGATTGTGCAAATGTGCACCTATATCTATAAATATAACTGTGTATCTATTCCATAAAGTCTACTTGCAACAATAATGTATTAACATTTTGCTTTAAAGAGTTAAATAAATGTTTCATTTCAACAAAAGTGTGGCTATTGTTTCCATGTAAAACTTTAAAGCACAATATGAAACATACAAAAGAAAATGCCTTCACGAGGAAGGAACTTTTTGAAAGCATCTCACCTGGGCTTCCTTAGTTTGACCGGGTTTAGTGCTTCTGAAAGCATCTTCATGTTCATCCGCAGCCTGAGATGCCGCGTTCAGAGCCGCGATACGGATCTGTGATACGAGATACATACAGTAAGTGAATGGACAGAGGGATGGATGTATGTACGGATGGATGAACGGATGGATGAATGAATGAATGAATGAATGAATGGATGGATGGATGGATGGATGGATGGATGGATGATTGAATGAATGGATGGATGGATGGATAGATGAACGGATGAATGTATAAATGAATGAATGAATAAATGAATCAATTAATTAATGAAAGAGTGAATGAAAGCATGGATGAATGAATTGATGCATGTATGAATGAATGAGTGGCTGGATGGATGGATGGATGGATGGATGGATGGATGGATGGATGGATGGATGGATGGATGGATGGACGAATGAATGAACAAACTCTACAGATTAACAGAAATTGGTCAAATGATGGATTGATGCATGAATGGATAGAGGAATTAATGTATTAATGAAAAATGAATGAATGAATTGATGTATGAATGAATGTATAAATGAATGTATGAACGCATGGATGAATTGATTAATGTATAAATGAATGAATGAATGAATGAATGAATGAATGAATGAATGATTGAATGAATGGATGGATGGATGGATGGATGGATGGATGATTGAATGAATGGATGGATGGATGAACGGATGAATGTACAAATGAATGAATGAATAAATGAATCAATTAATTAATGAAAGAGTGAATGAAAGCATGGATGAATGAATTGATGCATGTATGAATGAATGAGTGGCTGGATGGATGGATGGATGGATGGATGGATGGATGGATGGATGGATGGATGGACGAATGAATGAACAAACTCTACAGACTAACAGAAATTGGTCAAATGATGGATTGATGCATGAATGGATAGAGGAATTAATGTATTAATGAAAAATGAATGAATGAATTGATGTATGAATGAATGTATAAATGAATGTATGAACGCATGGATGAATTTATTAATGTATAAATAAATGAATGAATGAATGGATGGATGGATGGATGGATGAATGGATGAAAAAAAATGAATTAACTAATAGGGTGAATAAATGGATGGATGGATGGATGGACGGATGGATGGACGAATGATTGAACAAGCTCTACAGACTGACATAATCTGGTCAAATGATGGATGGATGGAGGAATGGAGGGATGAATGAAAAAATGAATGAATAGATTTATGAACGATGAAAGTATAAATAAATGAATATATGAATGAGTGGATGAATGGATGAAAGAATACATTGATGGGGTTTAAATGAATGCATTATTGAATGGATGGATGGATGAATGTATAAATGAATGAACATAAATGAACGAATTAATGGATGATGGATGAATAAATGAATAAATAAATTAGCTCTACAGACTAATAGAAACCGGTCAAATGATCATAAGAGGTAGTTAAAATTAATAAAATTCATGCAAATGAACAGAGCGACTTACCATGTTTGTTATTTATTAAAGATCATACAGTCCAACCGTCAGCTTCAGCAGAACTGCAAAACAACAATTAAAATAAAACTGAGGTAAAGTTGGTTTTAAGTTTGCTCATTCAGACTTTCTCCTCAATAATACATTTTCAGAAATGTATTATTTGCCAAATCTAAACAGGGATGTCATATTAGCAGCCAATGACTAGCAACAGTCAATTAAACAGTGCTAATGTTGTTTTGAAGTCCTACTTAATGGTTAATGATAATAAATAAGCGCTAGTTTAGAAGAGATCACAACACTTCTCTCTCTCTAACTTTCTTGCCAAATATTCAAAAATGTCAATCCAAACAAATCACGTAAACTTATTAAAAATATTATTATTTTACATGTGAGGAACTGCTGGAAGAGTGTTGTTTTATTGCAATTTTGTACCGCACGGCAAAATGGAGAAAAAAAAACTTCACATTTCACAAATCCTACATGACGGTTATAGTTTGATTGCGGTGTTTACATGTCTGTATTGTACTTTAATAACGCGACTAAAATTGCCATACTCCACGTCTTATTAGTTCGATTATGACTTAAGTCGAATTAAGGTAATCAAAAATCGCTGTTTATATGGTAGACTCCTAATCAGAGTATTGTCTTAATCGTATTAAAATCGGATTATTGGTGTCCATGTCAACGTACGCACTGTTTATCACGCTACTTTGAATATTCGGTCTGAAATATCGTGTAAGTGTGACGTCACAACACCATTAGCGCTATTTAATTGGCTCTGAACAATGTTGTACTTTAGTCATTGGCTGCTAATATGATTTCTCTATTAAGATTTTTTTCTGATATTATATTATTAAGGAGAAAGTGTGAATGTGCGAATATAAAACCAACTTCAGCACAATCTTACAATTCACTTCAACCGCAGATGTTTTCCCCAGTAATAGTGCAAAATAAATTCCCAATGTTTACTCTTTTCCCCAAACTGCGTGTTATAGATGCTAACTTCTAAACAACGTAAAAAAACGTTCAGTGTTCTTTGGGAGCCTGTTATTGATTCCAATGAGACATTTCACTGTTAGCTTGATACATAAATAAAACACTTTGAGCAAATATATCTAACGCTTCGTAAACATCAAAACAGCGGTGCTGTAGCAACAGCATATATACAGGCATATACAGTTTAATGAGTCTGTTTATGAAACCTTTTCAATAACAACATGCTAACAATGCTAGCAGCTGCAGCACAGCTGACCTCTCAAGGCTCCTGCTTTTCTATTTAACGCGCAATTTCCTTAAACTTGACAAATGTGTGATGTTTATGCAGCGGGTTGGGCTGTAAAGTTGTGTGTTGTTGTGTTTGCATGTGCATTGTTTTGATTGAGAGCTCTTTCTTACCAGCTGAACGCATGATCTTCTGCTCGGAAAGTCGCTGAAGTCAGTGTCGAGCGCTCTCATTGGACGAGCGTGAACGCGCGCGGCTGAAAACAGCCAATGGCGTGTCAGATCTCAGACTTTTGATTATGCCGTTTCTTTTTGTACACTTTATTTCTTGTTCAGTTTTTCGCGATATCACCGGATGAAATAAATACACACTGAACCACTGTTGAGGGGGGAAAGCAGCCTATTTCTATGTTTTAGGTATGTGTTTGTTCGAGTAAAACCTTTCGAACAAATTCAGGTGTAAAGTTTTTTAAGCATGTTTATATTTATAAATGTTTTTATAATTACAAATGAAGAACTTCAGACGAGTTACGAACTCAACATCTAGTTGTAAAATCGTGTCAAAAATGTAATTTATCTAAATTCAAAATGTTTATTTGTAATAAATAAAGGTATACATGATTAGCACTGTCGCCTCACAGCAAGAAGGTCGCTAGTTCGAGTCCAGGCTGAGCCAGTGTGGATGTTCTCACCGTGTCCAAACACATGCGCTATAGGTGAATTGAATAGTGCGTGTGTATGGGTGTTTCCCAATACTGGGTAGCGGCTAAAAGGGCATCTACTGTGTAAAACTTATACTGGATTAGTTGGTGGTTCATTCCGCTGTGGCGACCCCTGATAAATAAAGGGACTAAGCCGAAGAAAAATGAATGAACACGTTTATAAATACAAATTTAACCAACACATTATACTAATTATATTTCTAATCATAAGGTGTTCGTTTTTTCTATTGCTGTATTTTCTATATTTATTATTATTTGTCATAACTCTTTTATTAATATTATTATTACATTATTATGTATTTTTTATCACAATCACATTAATAGATTATCCGATGTATGCAATATTAAACATTTATACTTATATTTTTCTTTTTTTGTCTGCACATTTCAGACTTTTCAATCCCTTACTTTGCCATTCATACATCGTTTATTTTCCTTCAGATTTTTACTAGATGTGCTTTCCAAGACCTTTATTGATCAGAAAAAACATCTGGAGACAATGCAAGCAACTCGTAGGTTGTTTTCTGGAAGATCTCTTTTTCTACTTTGTCACATTTCTCAGATTGTTCAGATTATCAGACTGATCAAATTCATTTGTGATTTTTTTTTTAAATAAAGTGTTACAGCATATCTAATACTGCTATTATTGAGTTCATTTTAAAAAGAGTAAAAATGATGAAAGAATTTGTCATCCTTTTTTAAAAGGCATTCTAAAAGTTTAACTAATAATAAATAATTATTCACTGTATTAAGTGTGGACAAAATCAATTTTGCACATGCATTATTGAATTAATGAATACCAGCATATGTTTAGTCTACAAACACCAATTATTGCACTAAAAGCATCACATGGTATGTACAAAACTGATTTATTTTCAAATAAAAAATCGTTTAAAAAACCTTGAGACAAGTGTTTCACAATTATTAATCAAGTCAGCTAAAATTTACAAAGCTAAAATTCACATAGAATAACCTAATAACCTTAACATGATAGTGATTTACTCATTCACCACTTGTTCCACTGTTGAACACAAAAGAAGATATTTTGAAGAATGCTAGAAAACAAAAACATCCACTGACTTTCATTTTTGGTTGAACTGTGCCTTTAAAGTCAAAGAACAGCAAAAATACTATAAATACAATCAGATAACATTAACATTTGTAAATAAACAACATCCTGATCCTGGGATGTCAACAAAGAAGCACCTAATAGATTTTAACAGGTAATAAACCCTGGACAGATCAAGATGACGGCAGCTCTTTAGATGAGCAACTCTTCACTTAAAGCAGGGGTCTCCAAACTCGGTCCTGGATAGCCGGTGTCTGGCGGGAGCACTTTAGCTTAGCATAGTCAATTGAATCGGATTAGACCATTAGCATCTCACTCAAAAAATCAAGAATTTCCATAATTTTTCTATTTAAAGCTTGACTCTTCTGTATTTACATTTTACACTATGACCCAAGGTAAATAAAAAGTTGCTATTATCTAGGCTGATATGACTAGAAACTATAGTTTAATTCTGGCGTAATAATCAAGTAATAATGCTGCTGTACCATGGCTGTAGCAGGCGCAATGATATTACACAGCGATTTCACATAGCTGGGGGCTTTATTCAAGCGCTGTGTATTATCATTGCACCTGCTGCAGCCATGGCAGTAAAGTTACTTGATTATTACTCTTTTTTTTTTTTTTTTTGAAACGCTAATGGTCTAATCTGATTCAATGATTTATGCTAAGCTAAGCTAAACCGATAAATGATAAATGTTGATGAAAATAATGATAAATGTACACTGTCCCTTGTTGTGAAATAAATAAATAAATAAAAATTTGTGTTCAACAGAAGAAAGACACCCAATCAGGTTTAGAACAAGTGTATGATGAGAAAATGATGAGAGAATTTATTTTTGGGGTGAACTATCCCTTTTTTAATTAAGATCTCTGAAGCTAAACTACCTCAAAACCCGATTAATCCAGCAGTGTTTCTCTGGCTTCCAGACGCACTCGGTCTGTCTGAACCAGAGCGAGACACACTGGAGGCTCTAGAGTACACAGATCTGGAGGACGGAGAGCCTCTGGACTGGAGACTGACGCTGCTGACGGATCCTCCAGAGCCAGATCCAGCCCTCAGATCCAGCTCCTGTAAAGCTGGAGAGGATCTACTCGAGATTACTGGATGCAGAAGCTCCTCCTGATGGGGACGAGGCTGAGGGAGATCTTCAGTGTCAGCAGGAGGTTCTGGACGAGTTCCTGATTCAGGATGAGGGACGTCAACAGGCTGTGTGGTGATTAGAGGAACACGACATTTTAAGTAGTAGTATTTCTATTTTTTATTATGTTTTTTTTACAAGATCTAAAATAACTATCTAATGTTGCTAGAGTGAGTATGTGACGTTTCAGATCAAAATACCACGCAAATAATGTTTTATAAAGGCCCCTTTTAGGCTTTGATTCTAACTCTACTGTTTTGGTGACTTTCGCTTTAAATTCAAATGAGATTGTGCTCTTTCAAAAAGAGGGCGGAGCTACAAATGCCTGTCAGCATAGTTGTAGATTCAAAAACAAGACTAATATTCTATACTGATGAGGAAT